AAAATCAATCAAGAAATCAAGAAATCAAGAAATCAAATTCAAAGAAATCAATCACCAAATCAAAAAATCAAATCCAAAAAAATCAATCAAGAAATCAAGAAATCAAACCAAAAAAATCAATCAAAAGATCAAAGAAAATCAAAAATGCGGAAAAAATTCCATTCAGATTGACTTCCATTAGATAATCATTTTTATATCTGTATCATTATTTTTAGAATCAGCTGAATGAAGATATTCGTGTCTTGTTACAGCGGTTCGATGCTGAGACAGCTGATGAGGCTGAAAACAAAAGTATGTCGTAGTCCAAAATTGTTAGTTCGCCTATTTTCAATATGTTGCTTTTCAGATGAAAATGAGGTCACCACTTCATTTTTAACCCAGCTCTCAACATGGGACAAAGAGGAATTGGACGATAAATTGGCAAACCGTGTACAAGTTTCGAAGCGTGCGGTAGCTAAAGTAGTTCAAGTTATTGATCGCCTGATGCAGCGAAATGAAAAATTCACAATGATATTGAAAGGTCAGTCGGATGATGACAGTTTGTCTGTTCCCGACATCGAAGATACCTTAAAAGAAACTCAAATCGAAATAATGGCAGAAAATAGAAACCTACAAAGCTTGAATACATCATTGCATGAAAAATACCATACGATATCTTTGAAACTGAAAGAACTTCAAGATACTTTGACTGGCAAGGAAACTGAAGCAGCTGAGCTGCATAATCAAATTGACGACTTACAATACGAACTTGAAAAGGTTCGTTTGCGTAACGATAAGCTTGAAAATCATTTGGCCGAAGCTATCGAAAAGCTAAAGTCGTACCATCAATTGCATGGTGATCAACCTAACAAGAGTACATCAGCACCGACTTCTTCGGGGTCATCATCAGGTAAATCTTCTTCTACTACAACTAATGTTGCAACGCAACATTTGGAAGATTTACAGAAAGAAGTCGAAGAATGTCGCGAACTGGCCAACAATCGGCTACAAGAACTGGACAAATTACATCAAACGCATCGTGAAGCCCTCAAAGAAGTAGAAAAATTGAAAATGGATGTAAGTAAAATCCAGCCAAGGGGATAATCTCTTCCCGTGAATCCAAATATCAAACTGACCATTTCCCCTTATTTAATATTAAATTTCTTTTGAATTAGATCCGTCAATTGCCGGAGTCAGTGATTGTCGAAACAACCGAGTACAAATGCTTGCAGTCACAATTCTCCGTATTATACAATGAATCGATGCAGATTAAAACGATGTTGGACGAAACACGAAATCAATTGCAAACAAGCAAAAATCAGCATATGCGCCAAATTGGAATTATGGAAAGTGAGGAACTTATAGCTCAAAAGAAAGTACGCAGTGAGATGATACAGATGGAAGACGTTCTAGCACAGATTCGTAAAGAATATGAAACGTTGCGCATTGAATTTGAACAAAACATGGCGGCTAATGAACAGACTGCTCCAATTAATAGAGAAATGCGGCACTTGATTACATCGCTTCAAAATCATAATGGACAACTAAAAGGCGAAGTATTCCGATATAAACGTAAATACAAAGATTCAGCGGCAGAATTAATGAAATTGAAGAAGGAGTATGATGATTTAGTTGCTAAGACAAATGTGTCCGATGGAAAAAAGTCTGATATCAAACAAGAAGGAGCTGTGATTGGTGTCAAAGAGGAATCTTCGTCGGATGGTTCAGCGTCAGTCAAAGAAGAAGCCGGAACCCTGATAAAATGTATGTAGTTTTCAAAAATAATTTAAAAGACTTTGAAAATGTTATATTCCATTTAGCCGAATCAGATCTTAATGAAGATGAGTTAGAAGAAATCGAGGGCATGAAAAAAGAAGGAAATGCTTGCATTAAGCAAGAAAAGGGTGCATTTGCTGCCAGCTCTTCCGATAAAAAAGATGGCCAGAATAATACAGTTAAAGTTGAGAAAGACCCAAAAGAAGCGCAAAGAGCTAAAGAATTGAAGGTTAACGAATCTGAAATGGTTCGCGATTTGAAAACTCAGTTAAAGTATGACTCAAATTACATGTTAAAAATAAGTTAACATTGACAAACATAATTCTCTCTATATCGTAGAAAAGCGCTGAATGACCAGAAAGAAATGAAACTGTTGCTGGACATGTACAAGGGTGTTTCGAAAGATCAACGGGATAAGGTTCAGTTGATGGCCACTGAAAAAAAGCTTCGTTCTGAAATCGAAGAATTAAGGAATCAAATGAAAAAGATTCAAGTATAATATTTGGTAAGAATTTAAGTGAACACAAATAACAATGCTCAATAATTATAGGAAAGCAAACGTGAAGAACGCAAGAAATTAGCCGACGAAGACGCACTGCGGAAAATAAAACAGTTGGAAGAGCAAAAATATGAGCTTCAAAAACAAGTAGCAAGCCAAAAATCTGCTGATGGTTCTTGGCCCGGACATTATGGGACGCGTCCATTTGTTGGTTCACAGGTGAGATTATTATTTTAAAATATTTTTCCATACAAATGAAGTTAAAATTAAATGACAAATGTTTGATCAAACACTTGATAGGAAGAGGAAGCTCTCTTAAATGAAATGGAGGTAACTGGACAAGCTTTTGAAGAGATGCAAGAGCAGAATTCACGGTTAATTCAACAATTACGTGAAAAAGACGATGCAAATTTCAAACTGATGACTGAGCGTATCAAAGCCAATCAAATGCATAAACTTCTGCGTGAGGAAAAGCAAATACTCGAAGATCAGGTTCAAACTCGCGATGCTCAGATCGAGGCATTGCACATAGTTCTGCGAAAATTGGAAGAAAAAGAGCGTATTCTACAGAACACAGTAACAACTATAGAAAAGGAATTGACGCTGAGACAGCAAGCGATGGAAATGCACAAACGCAAAGCAATTGAATCGGCTCAGTCAGCGGCTGATTTGAAATTACATTTGGAAAAATACCATTCCCAAATGAAAGAGGCTCAACAAGTCGTCGCCGAAAAGACAAGCTCTCTTGAGGCTGAAGCTTATAAAACGAAGCGTTTGCAAGAAGAACTGGCTCAATTCAAGCGAAAGGTAGAACGCATGAAGAAAATTGAAATGACGGGTACCACCATCGACGAGGTGATGATGGAAGAAATCCGCGAATATAAAGAAACTCTCACTTGCCCATCGTGTAAGGTAAAACGCAAGGATGCAGTTCTATCCAAATGTTTCCATGTATTTTGTTATGACTGCCTTCGCACTCGCTACGAAACCAGACAACGCAAATGCCCAAAGTGCAACTGTGCATTCGGTGCCAACGACTATCATCGGCTCTATTTGTCTACATAATAACTTCCATTTTTCTATTTTTTCGTCATTTTCCCATTTTGTACAACCTACAAGACATATTTTAGTAGTAAGATAAATGTATTACTTCATCTCCTCACAAAAAATATTATTTCAATATTCTAATAAAAAAATAGCTGTTCGCTTCTAAGCGGTTTGACGTTTTAATATACTAACACTCTCAAACAGTTGTAAGCATCAGAGTGTGTAATTTAATGTATACGTGTAGACTTTTGTGTAGAATTTCATTCGTGTATAGTCACGCCGATGCCGACCAATACAACTATAGTTGATTGAAACAAGAGGGAACAAATTAACTGAATGCAAGCCAAACAATTCAATTGTGTGTTAGTTTCAGTTGAGCCCCAGACTCATTATCATGACACGCAATATTGCCGTTCATCTACACGTTATTCATATGTTTTTATCAAGATATGTTTTTATCTTATTAAATTTTGTGCCATAGAAATGATTAATAGAATAAGTGAATTTTTGCTATGAAGAGAAATCAATATTTTGGTGTTCAGCAAGTGTTTTGTAATTACATACATACTATATGTAAAAAAAAAATTTGAATTATTGTAAATGCGCTATTCTCGTCATCAATGTTATCGAACCAGAAAATACCTATTGCATAAAACAGTGTTTTAAGACAAATTGAAAGAAGTTTTGTTGTTTCTGTAAATGATCAATCAACAAGCCTGGGAGTAGAGAGTCGACTATAATTTGAAGTGTTCAGTGCAAAAAATTACAATGGTAATTGATATTAATTATTCGATCCAATAAGCTGGCTCTAGTTTAGTTGGGATTGCTAATTTCTCCAATCTGAAGGTGCAGTGAAAGGTTGTGAAGCAGCATAAAATACAGACGAAGTAGTGCAGAAAATCAGACATTTTAAACAAACCAATAACTGTCCACTATGAATTGAAATTAGATAAAGAAAATGGCAATTTCTCTACTTTAGTGGAATAAATGTCATTAAAAGTCGTCAGACATCGTCGAAATTACATTTATTCACGCATTGCTTTCGATTTAATTCTTCAGGTATACATGTATACAGATAAAACCATTTTTTTTGAACATATTTTTTGTTTGCTTAACTTTGATAGCTTCCGAAAATTCCAGTGAATGGACTGATAATAGAATAAATACAAATTCAGCATGGAGAAAAGAATATGCGATGGAACTTTGATAAACAAAATTGAATGAGGAAATTGAGTTTAATGACCTCTTTGAATGCTACTCAACTAAAAGGTGTTATGGGTCTTTAAGATTCACATATTGTTAGATGTAAAATTTCTTGGAAATAAATACTAAGGCAAACATATTGTGTTTGTACAAATCCGGTTCCATAGGAATCATGAAAAAAAAAATTCAATGCAAGTTTCTCACATTATTGTATCGTTTTTTATTCTGTTATTTTATGTTTCCTTCCCTATCGTTCGCATCGAATATTACATGCACATCTGTAGAACATATTGATAAATGGAAACTGTTTTTTTACCACGCGCCATGCATCGACCAACATTTTCATTCGTCGAAAACATAAATCTGAAGAAAAAAAATTATTTGAAAAGCAAGAAGAAAATGAAAAATCAATAATCAGCGAGAACATTGACAGAAGAAAATTTATAGCTGTGACCACGATTTTTTTTTATCAAGATATCGTAATAAACTAAAAATATCGTTCGATATCGTTATTATGATGGAATCTTAATAACGCTATTAACTTTTTATCAGGATATTAACTATATTCAAATAATAACGTTATCGGATGAATCTTAATAATATCGTTTGGAAGTTATCAAGATCGAATCCTGATAATTTATCAACATTCAATCTTAATAATCATCAAGTTCTGGAAGTGGGTTTTGGTGGATCCTCAGGATCGACCAGAATTGCTCCCAGTTCTGGAAGTGGATCTTCAGGATGGACCAGATCCGGTTTGACACTGCCCTTGGCCCATCCTGAAGATCCACTTCCTGAGGATCCACCAAAACCCACTTCCATAACTTGATGATTATTAAGATTGAATGTTGATAAATTATCAGGATTTGATCTTAATAACTTCAAAACGATATTATTAGGATTCATCCAATAACGTTATTATTTGAATATAGTTAATAACCTGATAAAAAGTTGATAGCGTTATTAAGATTTATCGGTATTATGATCGGATCTCAATAATCTCTCAAAATTATTAGGATGGTTATTAAGATACGAATATGGCACAGCTATAAGAAAATTGCTAAACCAGACTTTATGTCTCTATATACACAATATGTCTGTCATATCGCTCATCTGTCTCTAACATCACTGAAAGAGCAAGTAAATATTTTGAATCTCTTGATAATGTTCGATATGTTTTACTAATTTCCAAAACCAGTCTCTTTCAACCAGTTCGTTTCAAAATACAGGTTCTGTTATTTCTCTTCATTCCGTTTAGTTCGGTTCGATTCAGAATAGAACCGTTCGATTCATTCACATTTCCATTTCTCATTTGAATAAATAAATAAAATTTATATGTGTAAAGAGTAATTAAATTAGTAGTAGAGATTGTGTTCTCGAATGTGTCATTTTTACCTTGCAAACATAGCTACAGTATTTCTCTTCTCTTTTTGAAAAGTTGAAAGGTTTGTGAGCTTGTTTATTGGGTATTCTTAATTCATTTACGGTTAACGCATTTCATTATGTTTCAAGGAAATTAAGTTGTTCTGCAGTTGAATAGCATCAAATTGACTGTATTCTCTCTGTTCAGCAGATGTGCGCTTCAACATTGTTTGAAAAGATGAGGGCGCGGGAACGGAAATATTTATACTAAATCTGTTATATGGGAATCTCTTTTGAAAAATATTCCTACTCTATAGCATTTGTTTTGAAGAGAACACAAGTTTTTAGAGTATTTGAATATTGTTCAGTAATTAGAGATATGTAGCCAAAAAATATGAAATAAATTAATATGAAAATTGTTACAAATTTTGCCTTTCTCGCTCTCTAAAAAATTGTAATTCGATTTCAAAGCTGATTTTCAATTGTATCGCGTTAATTCACTGCCTATTGCATTTGCTGCTTTAAAATTCGAACTCGAATATTTTAATTAAAACTTCGCGTGAACGATATAAGTGACTGAACGCTTGTTGTTTGGAAAATTCTCGGCAACTTGTAATACCTATGGCATGGTGCTGGGCACGCACATTCCCACTATACTATATATACTGTATTGAAACAATGAAAAAATTAAACGAAGCAGAAGTATAATCGAAACTTTTCCACATGCTCTATACAAAAACGAAATTATGATGTACCCTTTCCTAATTAAATTTATAATTCCGATGAAGTTATAGTACTTTTTTTATGAAAGCCCCCGCAAAGGGACCTGATCACGATTAAGTACCAATACTTTTCTCAACAAACTTTGCTTGCGGAACAGTAAAAACACATAATCAACGGATGTTGCGATTGTTATGCATTTGATTGTTTTTTATTTAGCGTACTGATTAATTTTCGTCAGAAGCAAACGAAAGATATTTGTCCAGCGGTAAAACATTGATGTGATTCGCGCTGTATGATCAAATATTAGGGGCGTTCAAATGGATCATCTATGATAAATGCGAAGAAAACTTGAATGTAAATACAAGAAAGTATTGCGGCGACATTTCTTGCCTCGCATTCAATATAATTTTCCGATTCTTGAAAGTCCAATGCAAAAATACAAATGTCAGAAAAAACAATTCACATGCAATTTTCATCGTTGATTGAGTTTATTTTGTATCCGTCTGTTTCGTTGTACTTTTACTGCTTTCAGAGTATCGATATATCGTTTATAAGCTTAGCAAATGTGTACTCTCTTTTTATCACCGTATCATTTTGTTGTGTAATTGTTACACTGAGAAAGTAACGAGTTCATTAAATTCTCATTTCTGTAGTGTAACACTCTTCTTCGTTACGAATGTGCACAAATTTCCGTAAAAGATGTATAAATAACTTTTGATTCTAGTGAAATCAAATAGAAAGGCGAGAATAGAGTTATTTTCAGTGGCAAAGAGAAACAATTAATTGAAGCTGTCGCATCGTAATACATCGGTATATTAAAAAAATATGTTAGTTAAATGTCATTGTTATACATAAATGACTTTTGGTATTTTTTTTTTTCAAATTTGCCTACTAAATAGGCTAGTAATAGAAAGTTTGAATTATTTTGAAGTAGTATTTAAGTATACAATTATTATGTATTATTATAAAAATTTATGCGTTAGAATACGCTTGTCAGAAGTTCAACAATCAGAACCATTGCACATTAGTTATAGACAAATTTTGTCTCAATACTTGTATCTAATTTTGTAAGTAGCACCAGAGTGAATAGTGCAAGTATTTTCGCGAAAATCAAGCGACAATACGAAATGCCAGCTGTGAAACGAATTCGTCATCGTTTAAAATACATCAGTGAATAACAGCGAGCTGCTTCTGCCTAAGCCTATTTTAAACATGCGTATCAGGCGACAAAACTCACAGCATACCACAAATTCCAAACCTTTTTATTTATTTAGTGGCACTGATGTGAAAGCCGTAAAATAATGAATCAATACGTATCAATAAACAGCGAACGATAGTTATAAAATAAAACACTAATTCTTGCTTTCATCTTTTTCTTTTTTCAGGACGAACTGAATTCTGAAGAAATGGTTTCGGAGTGGAAAACCCCGTGTAGTAGTGAATTTGGATCGCTCGAAACTAATTGTGTGAAACGACTTGAATTTAAAGAAACAGAAGAAATAACAAATCGGATTGTCGATTTGGATTTGGGTACGAATAATAATAATGGGCATGGTGATGGAAATGACAGTGGAGTTGATGCAGGTGCTACAAACATAATCCAGTTGCAGAGGGCATTGAGCAACAATAGTGCCGGTTATGCGAGCAGTTCAGGTGGCTTGGATGCACAATTTGCTTCATGCAATTCAAGTTTATTGAGTGTTTGCTCAGATGCACATGATGACAAAACAACCGTACTAAGTTGTAAAAGAGGCATAGATTGTATGAGTGAGAATGGTAGTGAAAGTTCATCGTTAAGTGGTGACAGACAACAAAGACTTAGACAAACGCCGGCGAAAAAGCGAATTGGACTAGCTGTTGAAGCTAACCAACCGAAATCGCCCTGGAACACTGATGGCACGAGCAAAAATCGTGTAAGAGCCGCTTCAGCCAACAGAGTGATGAGCCACCGTACGTATGGAGCTCCAATTTTGGCTACCTCCGAACGGGCAAGATCGCGTGATAGGCAAATATCATCAAATTCACAATCATCACCGACGAAACGATTGAGACCCAATTTATCGTTGCCTACAAGTGTCAAAGATGGTTCTCCTCTTCAGCAAAAACCTTCGACATTGAGGCGTTCGTCATCCGCGGCCAGGAGAACCACTCACCAAATTACACCTATATCTACACCTACGACAGATCAACGGAAGATGGTTGCATCAACGGAAGATGGTCGATGGCCGTTTCGATCAGCGGTAAAAGTTCAGAGTCGTAACACAAATGAAACGTTGATAATAAAGACCAAAGTTGGGCCAATGTGTTTGACAACGCCACGAAGAAAGAAAGTCAAATCCGAAGAAGACCTAAGCGAATGGCAATCAAACCGAAGAAGTGTCGATCCAATTGCAAGAGATCGAATGTCTTCCTCAACGATTGTAAGAAGACAATCAACACGAGAATCTCCAAATAAAGGACAATTTCCACCGCGATATCAAAAACCCACATCAAAAACGCTCATCTACCATGAAGCGTCAATACAAACAGCACTTACTAGCCAAGGTAAACTTTGATGGTTGACCAAACTTTGATGGCTGAGGAGAATGCGTTTGCTAGGTCTTATAGGTCTTTTCATAAAGAATACTAGCAAACGCATTCTCCTCAACCATCAAAGTTTATATATAAATGAATGTCAAACACTTCGTAGACATAGACAACGCATTTTGCGGAAATGCAAAAGAAGTTCAAATCGATGCTGCTATCAAAATTCATCGGGAGAGCCAAGTTGACATTCGAGATACGGAAATCGAAAAACTTGAAGAAAAGCTTGAAGCAATGGATGCGGACAACAAAAAACTTCGACAGAATTTATTAGAACGATCCCAGTTGCTGACGTCAATGGAGAGCCAATTAAACCGTGAGCGTGAAGAAAAAGCCGCTATGAAAAAGGAGCTGCAAAGTAGTACAGCACGGGTTCTTGGAATGCTTGAACTTGTGAATGCAACACCCAATACAGAATCTTCTACATCATGTGACAGCCTCTTGATGCTTGAGTCACGAATTCAACTTTCTGGCCATGCACTTGAAGAAAAACAGATTGAAATCAACACGTTACGTCATCTGTGTAATCAGCTTCAAGTTGAAATGAATAGATCAATTCAAGGGCAACAGAATCTATTGGAAGAAAGAAAATGTTTTGAAAAAGAATCGTCAGAGTTGCAGGATTTTCTGCAAGATGAAAAAGCGGCCATTTGTGAGGCATTAAGAGATGCAGAAAACGAAATCGAAAAATATGACGAGAAATTGAAGCAAAAAGATCAAGAGGTGGAACGATTGCAAGATGAATGTCGACACTTGGTGAGGATTTCGGAGCAAAGAAGGTAATTTTTGTATTGAATAATTTATTTATTTATTTCACACCGCCAAAAACTGGCTGAATATTTTGGTTTGCAGGAAAACGACTCCAAGAGTCGTGAAAAACCTGATCTTTTTGTGTTTGTACAATATATGGTAATTTTATACAATAAATAGTTGTAATAGTCTTTCTCGATTGGTATAACAATTTGGTCTAAAAAGCATTGACACAAGATAACCTAACCAATACATGGAAATGCATAGGTAGCCGAAATGTAAACGGTCCAATATAGCCTAACTTAAACGTGTAAAAAATGAAAGACCAACTGAAGCGTTAACACTGTAGTGACGGCCCTAATGACTGCAAAAGTCATCAATCAATTTATCCAGAGGTGATACATTGAAGAAAAGTTTTACGTCTAATCTAACAAGTCCCTGTTGGTAGTTATGAATTTGTAATTTAGTAGAGACCGAAAGACATAAGAACAAATTTACAATACTTGCAAATACATTAACATAAACGGTAGTTTCCATTATGAATTATAAATTAATGGCAGGTCAAAAGTTGATCACCAACTCAATGGATGGCTATATCACAGTTAATATTGCTACTTATTTTAAAGTTTGTGTAAAAATCACGGATAAATATCATTATTTCTATACATTTTGTAATTTGAAAATAATAATCTTTTTCTGTGACAATTTCAGACAAGAGTTTCTTGGGATGCAAACCAAATATATTGCACTGGAATCAACGAGTAAAATTCTGGTTGCACAACAGAGTTACGTTTCTGGTGCTACACTTGCACTCTCCGATCTTGGCTCACGTTTAATTGATCTCGTCGGACAGCTAGTTGCTTCCTATAACATTTCCGAACAAGATCTCGAGGTAAGCCAATCGTCTATTTTAATTTAACTCCGAAAATACTTTTAAAGCGAGAGTTTATAGAGCAAGATGATCTATTCAGGTGTGTTCTAATAATTTCTCATCTTTGAAAATGTGCGATTCGTGTTTACTAATTAGACAAGCAACTAATAATATTACAAATAAATAATGTATGAGCATTCACATGAGGTTTTTTGTTCAAATTTTCACTCAGAAGAAGACTAAAAATTTAGTTTCATTCGCAAAACATCAAAATTTCACTTTCATTTTATGAAAAAAGCGACAACATATCATAATTCCCACTCAGTACAATCCTCTCTTTTTCACTTTCACACACACATGCACAAATTCATTCATTTTCGATTCGTTATTTATTGATTCTGATTTTATGAAGCGAAACATAGTCTGGTAAGTTTTCCATTAAATCGCATGTAGTGTGCTTGTGTGTATTAATGTTTTATAACAAATTTAGCTAAACTCAAAATCGCTCCACTCTAATTAAGTTATTTTTCTTATTTTAGGACATAGTTTATCATAACGAAGCGTATGCTAATAGTGAAGAATCGACACTTGATAATGAAAACAAGCCAATAAATGATGAATCGACGTCGACGCAGCGTTTCCAATCGTTCATTACAGCCGTATTAATTGCCATTAAGAATACAGCTTCCACAGCTAAAGATCAAGTTAATCAACCAGTTATCAAACTGAAGTCGATTTCGCATGAAAGTACCGATGGCGCAGAAATGTTAGATTCAGAGACTGAACCATGTTTAATGATGGAAGATGTGTCTAAGCCCGATTCACATACACAAAATCTTATTTCGTCGTGTTCTTTGGGTGACAATCAAGAAGACTCCTTACAAATGCTATGCGAGGCGATTGCAAATCGGCAAAAAATTGAAGAACAGACGACCATGATGCTACTGAACCAATCAATGCATAGCGAAACAGATATAAGTGATAGTGAAGCCATTCCTGTCCAATCTTTAGTAGATCATGTTATTAATGTAGACAATTTAGTAACAAAACTACTTAAAGTTTTACGCATCATTCAAATCGATTACATCAATGAAAAGTAAGTTTCCGTTTTCGAGGAAATTTTGAAATAACAATTATTGAAATAGTATTTTGCTTTTAGGAATACTTTTCAACTGAATAAAACGATGGAGAATTCAAAATTGAATAAAAATCTGAAAAATAAAAAAAATATTGATTTGGACCATATCCACACAGATGAACGAACTGAAATCAATGTAAGTATCCTATTGCACAAATCGTATAATGTCTCAGTTTATAATTTATTTGATTGTCACAATGAAAATTTTAATCCTGATTCAATTGGATGTTCGATATTGTAGACGCAAAATATTCCCAATACCGCCAATTACTCGATCAACGACGATACGAGGTCCAATGGAATTGAGCTGAATTTGAACTCACAGAATTGTGCAGGCGAAAAATGCCAAAATGACACAATCGCCAAAGCAATTGAGGTAATATATTTCAACCTTAATTGACAGACACAGAATAATTTCAAAAATCCCTAAATAGACGTTAAACGGAATTCAGTCAATTGTACGAGTATGTCCGGCGTTAATTGATCTACAACGGGACCTGGAACAAATGCTTCCATCTGACTGTAACGCAAATAGTCAATTTGAATGAATTCTCATCTCTGAAGAAGCTGTACTTACATTGAATTTTAACAATAAATACAAAATGTTGTTAAATTTATTATTAAAATCACAAACAAATATTATTCATTTCAATTGTTTTCAAAATCATCCAAAAAACTAGAAAGTATTCAATTTTATTTTATTTGTTAAGTTATGGCTGAATTCAGAGGCATAAAAAAGGTAGGCACTCTAAAGGTACCTTGTAAATTTCACATAGCCTTTGTGCTTTTAAAAACATTTACTAAAGGTTGATTCATTTGGTTTTTTTTTTATAAGTTGAAAAAACTAAAAAAAATCAATGAAATGTCCAATATTTTGGCTTTACTAGCTCAATTCTATGCCATTTTATGTTTGAGTTTCACTTTGGGGATATGACCACTTCCCCTCATTTTTTGGGGCCCCTTACACTCCATTTTGAAGTGATTTCGGGAGATTTTCAGGCCGTATTCTCACAAGAGCATTTTTAGACTTCAATGTGTCAATCGTTTCATTTTCATCTGAGTAAACCAAAGAGTTCATGTGTCCCCACGGGGAGTAGCCCATAGCTTTAAAATCGAATCATATTGTTGGATGATGGACAAATCAGATATTCGAATTTCGAAAAAAACGCTGTCAGGAGACAATTTCTTCAGTAAATTGACTTTTTTGGTCAAAATATGCTATGATATGGACATTTTATTGAAACTGGCGATCGTATTTATATTTGAACCCGTGAGCATAAAAACAACGTATTGACTCTTCGCCGATGAATACGAAACGCAAAACAATCGCCGAAAAAAGTGAAACACCAATCTGTTATTGGATCAATATGAAGCATGAAATCGTTGGCTACTATTTTATTCACGTTGCGCTTTGTTTCGAAGCGCGGCAAGTGTTTCATTTTGTTCCAGTAACAGAACGTTGTATCACTTTGTTCGGCGACGCGCTCAATGTACTGTTTTGGAAAAATATGCATGATTTGATATAGTTTTGAGTCCATTGGTATGATGATTTATTTTAACACAACACCCATTCTATTCCGCTCACACTTACGTGCACTTTAACGTTGCTGAAACATGTACGTTCTTGTTTCTTTACTGTGCACATCTTTTTAACAGTAAAGCAGACTACTTTGTTATACGGGTAAAAATTGCACGTAAGTGTGAGCAAAATAGAATGGGTGTTGTGCGTCCGTGTTTTGGCCATGTATAGATTTCACTATATAAACCAATGTATTCACAGCGGCGTGAACCCGCGTTCCGAGGATTTCATACAAACTTCCCATGTAGACGATCCGAAATAGGCAACAGTCGAAAAAAAAAGTTTAAATTTTTTTCGATTTTCATGTAGTATTTTTTTCTGCTCTATTGGTGTTATCGGCACATCGAAATTCGCGCTCCTTATCAGTTCACTTCATAGACAAATCACGACCAAAACCACCATTAAAATGAATCATCATACCAATGGACTCAAAAGTGTATCAAACATTTTTGTTTCAATTAAAGTGAAACACAATTTCTATAGTCAGCCGATATTTCACGATTCACTTTCAAGCGAACAGAATTTATGTTGCACTCGCACAAAACTGTATCAAATCATGCATATTTTTTCAAAACAGTACATTGAGCGCGTCGCCGAACAAAGTGATACAACGTTCTGTTACTGGAACAAAATGAAACACTTGCCGCGCTTCGAAACAAAGCGCAACTTAAATAAAATAGTGGCCAACGATTTCATGTTTCATATTGATCCAATAACAGATTGGTGTTTCACTTTGTTCGGCGATTTTTTTGCGTTTCGTATTCATCGGCGAAGAGTCAATACGTTGTTTTTATGCTCACGGGTTCATTTGTCAAAAATCAGGAAAAAATTATTGGGTATCGCCCAAATGGCTATGAATAGAGGGAAATCGATAAATCCAGACCTTTAGCCAAATTTCTGCCCAAAAAACGATTTTGTCACTCTGAACTAACGAGTTTCGGGCTAATGCGTATTTCTGTCATTAATTCATGAAGATTCAACCCAAAATCCAAACTTTAGAGGTCAATTATAAGCAGGTGAAAGCAGGAAAAATACGGTTCAAAAAGTGGACTGTCAGGGAGGGCCCAAAAAAGGGGGGAGGCTGGTCATATCCTCAAAGTGAAACTAAAACATAAAATGGCATAGAATTTGTGAGCTATAACTACTATAGTAAATAATTGGTCATTTCATTGATTTTTTTGAGTTTTTTCAACTTATAAAAAAACTTCCTTTATATATTGAGAATTTATGCGATAATAGTTCTGAAAAATATTAATGAATAAACAACCAATTTGAAACGTATTGCAGAAAATGTGTTGATTTATTCTAATTTCTTTACATGTGTCTCCAATATATATTTGTATTTCTAATAGATGGCGCAATGAACCGCCAAAAAATATATTTGACATCTGTCTTACAGCTTTTATATGTCAGTAATAACAACAAGTTGTGTCAATAAAATGATTGAATCCGCTGAAACAGTTCGTTCTATAAATTTTGTACATAAACAAATTTTCCGTCGTGAAAATGTTTTGAAATTGCATTAGTAATTATGGCTAATTCCGAAAAAATGGTATCACATCCGTTAAACCCTAGTAATGTGAGACACGATGACCGGACACCGGACAAAAATTCAAAATCCAAGTCAACAAAAAGTATCCGGAAAAGAAAGCGGTGAGAAAAGAAAATGGTTTGGAAAGAAATAGTTTATGAAAGCAGTTGAAAAAATGATACATTTAATTTTAGTCGGAATTCTTCAACTGATGAAGAGGAATTTGATACATCAATCGATATGAAATTGGAGCAGAGTGCCATGCGAAATAATTTAACGCCACAAAATGTGAAAAACATATTACAAGTAGGTGATTTTTTTTTACAAAGTTGCTAAGATCGTTGATTGCAAATGTTGAATTTTCTTCCTAGAAAGTTGTGCGTAATGATCATGTGTTGGCGATCGTGAAGTTAAAAGAAGAAGAGCTTGAGCGTCGAGAACAAGCTATGAAATATCCACACATGGGTAATGATATAAACACTGAAGAGTCAAAAGTCACAGAGAACGATGGCGTCGATGAATTGGACAATGCTGTACCCAAGTTAACAAGGGCAAAAGCAAAGGCCTTGAACAAATACCCTTTGCCAGTTGCTCCTCTCAAACCACATTCTGAACCTGATTCAGAGGTGGTCGCTTTAATACGCGAAGAGTTGCATTCCGATGATGACGATGATGAGTATCAACCTGGGGAAGATGATATTGAGGTATAATTTCTTTCTACAACCGTGTTTATTCAAAAACTATTATGTCTTAAAATTTGATATTAAATAAATCATATTTTAGTCTGATGACGAGATAAATACAACGCATTCAGATATTGACTCTCAACCGGCAACACCCTCGAGTCAAATAGATGCGTCAGAGGAAGTTCAAAATGCTGTTTATACACATGACGGCCTATTTAAAATACCAAGGTTACGAAATGATAGTACAACCTCTCAATCAGAACAAGAATATATAATTGCGCAAAGGACTCGATCGAAGATTAGCTTAGCCGAAACTCCTATTGAAGCTATTGAATCGACCTTCAGAGCACCTGATGCTCCTCTAGATATGTATCAAATGGAACCTGATGTAGATCCAAATTGGATACAATTTTTAAATAACTTTTCGATGCCATTAAGTGGGTATAGTGTGATCCTTGAATATATTATTGTTAATCAAATTTATCTAATGGAAATTCATTCCCCCAGCTTCGGAAATTGAAAAGGACGAGGATGCGGATCCAGATTATTGTCCAATGATAGTGGACAGCCAACCAGGTAAGGACCATAATTTTCTTGCACATTATTCAATCAATATTTATTCACTAACTTTCAAATACAGATGACCGCGAGGAATTTCAGCATGTTAATGTATCAAAAAAAGAGGTCAATGATTTATTGAATGATTGGTACAGCTGCATTGATATAAACTTTTTGGACCTAAATGAGTTTGATACTCTAACACTTGACACAAGTTCATCAAAACATCCGCCTACCGCTACAGATGATTTGAATGAAAGTTTAGTGACGCCTGTGAAGCAGATTGACGAGCCTGAACCAAACAAATACCAAACACCATCAGAGACAGCAGAAGTACCCGTTGACTCGCCGGAAATACCTTCTAATCCCGGAATAAGTTACTTTGATCCAAGTGCGATATCAACACCATCGAAACCGAATTACATTAACAGCCCCACTACTCGTATACATCGAACACAACAACAATCGCTCAATTCATCGAATAGTACTTTACTTTCGGTCAATGAGACCACGACAGTACACAATACATCTTATCCATATGCTTATTCGGTTAAACCTCTCCAAGACAAAACATCGGTGTTTGTGCCAGTCATGACATTCACCACAAATTCGAATGCTTCGCCCCATGAATTGACATTATCTTATCCCAGCTCGATTTTGGTAACAATACCGTCAGATGCAACATCAACTACACCAGCGATGCCTCCAACTATGATCTCATCAATACAATCAATTCATAATAGCAATCAAATGTTGCAAATGAGCCAACAACAAATCGGAGCTGGACAAACAATCAAGAGGCCAGGATGCCGAGCAAAAAGGTCCCGGTTCAAAAGTGCTGTGTACAAGGAACTAGAGAATCTAGATCCGAATACGCTAATACCAAAGGTAATTTGAAAGAAATGAATAATAAATGTTTGGTTCAGTTTTCAAATGCAATTTTGTCTAGAATGACTTAAATGGAAGTGGTTTCACGAGTGAACAGCGGTTAATTTTGGAAAGTCATCTACGGATTCACGTCCAACTCTCTACACAAAGCTATCTTCAAACGTATGGTCATCCAGAACTTTATCCTGAAGCTCAAAGAGTCAAACGATTCCTGGTTAGTTACCACATTCTATTAATCGATCATATACCACATTCTATAAATCAATGCCAACAAATACAAATATTTTCAGGTCGAAATAATGGAAATAATTGATAAATGCGAATCATCGGTGTCCATTTACAATTTAAAACCTGCTATGGAATTAATCACTGGTTGGGAAAATGAATTGTCTCAAAATACCATTGAGAATACTGAACTTTACACATATATGCAAGAAGAAATGAATAAACTACGTAAAAATGTGGGATACACAATGCAATTCCATGAACGAATACTACGGTTAATTTGTGAGAGTAAGGTTTTCATCTATCCAGAATTACTACCAGCTATTCCATTTCGTTTCAAGACACCGAAGTCATCCGAATATTTTCCGGCTGAAGATTAGTTAGTATCAAAGTTTGGTTTTGCCACGTATATGTATATGTCTTTTACATATTTAAGTGTATCAAATGTATTTGATTCATTTGCAGTTTGCTTGCTTTCCTTTTGGAGCATTTTTTTGAAGAGCTTCGAAAGAAAAATGTGACCTACAGATTTGCTAAGCCAAAAGAAGTAACTCTTTCATCCGTTTGTCACAACATATCAGCTCACTTGAGTTATCTGCGTCACTATAAGTCCATTTATGATTATATTCGGTTAAGACGGGACTGCGAGTTCATGAATCCAATCAAAGTATGAATTATGAAGCTACTCAACTAAAAAGATAATAATTATGATTTATCTTAGTTCTATTTCAAGCATAAACGAGCTCCACCAATTCGTCATCGTTATGAAGTATTTAATTCTGATTTGATCATTGAACCCGCCAAACAGCCAATAACTGTGTTATCCACACAATGGGCACGATATGTAGAAAAGGTTTGTATTTTTAATATTTCAAAAAAAGCACACACACACATGGTTTATCTCCACGGCTCACTTTATTTGAAACAATCTCATAAATCAGAACAATGAGCGAGCGATTCATGAAAAAACCATTAAAAAAACGTTCATCCATATTAATATATTCCAAACCAAATTATTTAAAATTCAACGTTTTAAAAAGTCTCCACTTCTTGTCTACAATTTGGTATGCATGCCATATTTGACAGCTGAATGACATTAGGGAGCATAAACAGAGGTGTAATAAAACAATACGAGAAAAATATGTTTTTTGCTAATTTTCGAAAAAAAATTATTTTTCACGATTTTCATTTCCCAGCTCATTGGTTTTAAACATGATGAGGTACTACAAAAGATAAAAACGCCGCCCAATGATTGTGAAAAAGAGACGAAAAGAAGAACCACCAATGAAAATACCCATAACAGTACCAATGATGATAAAAATTCTTTAATTCACGTGAAAATCCTTTATGGACACAGTGAAGCAAATCAATTAATACATAATAAAAAAGTGGAAACTGGAACGGTACACGGCATAAGTGATAACAGTGAGGGTTTAATCAAGGGACAAACATTGTTAACGTCATATTTTCATCCACTACGAAAAGCAACCAAAGATTTCAATCACGATGATGAAATTTCAATCGAAGTAGAAGAACCGGCTGACCTGACAACTGACGATATCGTTGTGACTGACAGAATTTATTTCTTTTGGCATAGAAAACGAATTTGCAAAAAATATAGAAGACTGAGATTATGTAAATATTCACTTCGGCAACGTACAAAACTATTTTTGGTACATCTGATTTCAAGAATACGCAAAAAATTCTCTCCCCATTGGCAACGATTTCGACGAAATAAAAACGTATCTTTTGCATATCGGTGTATAATCAGTTATCATTTATTTACAACTGAATTTATAAATCGTCAAAGTTATAAGATATCAAAAGTGCCAGCCAAAATGTCCACAGAAGCATTGGTTACAAATCGTCGTGTTCAAAAATTCATTTCAAGCGACAATGCCAGCGGTAGCCATGCCAGAGAAATGGCGGAAGAAAATACGGCTGCGCATACAGTCCAACAACAAAGTGAAGTCGGACAACAAGTGAAGCGTTTGCTAAAAAATCAACGAAGTAATGATAGTACTCGATTATTGCTTACCGAAAATGCCCAGGAATCATCGGAGAAAGACTTTTGTAAGTTACATTTATTTTTTACATCTAACAAAGCTCCTAATCATATTTTCATTTTCGCTAGTATTTGCGCAGCGATTCATAGACCGTGTCGAGGAAACTTTTATAAATGAGAATAAGCATCATAAATTTACTGAATTTATTAGCATTCTGCGTAATTTCAGCGAAAACCAGCAACAAAAAACTGGAGCTGATTTGTATTTGGTAAATATGAATACTACGATATATTTAGGGCGAAGGGCGAAGCTAGAGGAGAAATTCTATTACAAATTATTTACTGTGAATGTTAAATAAATTTTGCAGAATGTTGATAAAGAAAAAAATATGAGATTGATTCATGAATGATTGGAATTTTCTCTGATCATGTTGGAATGTAAAAAGTAAAACAGTTTTACATATTTTAGAATTTCTTTTTTAAACATTTTAAGACTTTGGAGAAATTCCTGATGCCAGATTATCCAGACCTCATGGAACTATTTCTATGTTTTCTGTCGCCCAGCGATGCAGTTGAAATCAATAAAACAATGGACTATTTTCTGAAAGTTAACTCCACCAAATTTCTGAATAAACTGAATATTTTCTTCCAAAAGCAACCAGCACAGGTAAGCTTTTTCTTTAAACATCCAATATGTTACATGTGTTTTACGAAAAAAATCTATTTGTTTGTACAGATTCGCAAAGTGCTTGCGTGTTTGAAGGAGCTAAGTGAAGATCCAGATGTAACAATAGATCGAATTCGATCGAAAATTCTACCACTATTGAAAGGTATATGTCAAAAAAATATGAAAGATTATCGACCATTCCACACGAAATCAGTTGAGAATTGGATCGACCCTCTGCGAATTGGCTGAAAATTTGCATGGAGTTTTGCTTTCGGTAGAAAACGAGAAAACCAAAATCTTAGGGCTGTAAGTGGCCCACATTTTCAAGTTCACCCAGTGTAAATTTTTAAAAAAAATGAAAAAATCGAAAAAAAGGGTTTGCGCCAACTGAAATCTTACTAAGAAGTAGTTGACACATTGCCAAGACCCTGGTACCGTTGGAGAGATAATCGATGTCTAGTAACTCACTCCCTTTGACCCCATTGGGGCTCCCAAAAATGGGTTCAAAGTATAAAAAGTGAAAAAAGTCAAAAACACGGTGTTTTTTTGACTTGTTTTTTTCGCGTCAAAATATGGCCCATGTCGCGCCGCTTCAGATAAGAAAATCAAATTCCAAGTATTGACCATTCAATTTTTTGTATTTTTTTATTATTATTATTATTATTAATCTGCACCATACAGCGTTTCTTCGCCAGAGGTGGTTTATTTGGTATAAATATTTGGTTGCATATTTACAATATTTTATGTATTCATTATTTGTTTAGTTTCTCCAAGTTCTAATTCTTCTAAAATAATCGGTTATTCTCTGTTTGACAGTATCTGTACTAACATTAAAATCAATTAAATAGGTATCACAAATTGGAATAGTATTAGTATCACATTCATTCGATCGATTAGGCGGTTTGATAGGGACAAAATACTTATAAAATTCATTGTATGTGGTTAACATGAAATTGATCGGTTCAAACATTGAGTAGTTGCATATTCTAATCGGCAGTGACAGAAATTCCGTGTTTCGTGTTCGATGTCGTGGCGTTCTAAAGTTGATTTTTTCCATGATATACTTTGATGATATTTGGCCACAAATAACGTTGTGAATGAAACAAATTTGTGCTATTTTTCTTCGTTCCTCCAAGGTGATCATTTGTAGAAATAGCAGACGATTGTTGTATTGTGGCAAAATGAATCTGTGTGGCCATTGCATCTTTCTCAGTGCAAACAGTAGAAATTGCTTTTGGACTGATTCGATTCTAGCAATTTTCTCATTGGTGTGTCTTTTTTTCCATATTTGCGATGCATATTCAACGATTGGCAATACGAACGTAAAGAAGAGCTTCTTTATGGTCCACGGGTCATTGAAATCTCTTCCAAAACGCTTGATCCACGCTAGTCGAGATTTAGCTTTAGCTGTTATGTATTCGATGTGTGCGCTAAAGTTTAGTTTCTCATCCAAAATGACTCCAAGATCTTTTATCACTTTTACTCTGTCAATCGACTTGCCTTCAATAGTGTACTTGAAGTCAAATTTCAGCTCACCACGGTGATATGATACGTAATTCGTTTTTTTGACGTTCAATCTCATGCGATTACGTTTGAAATAATCAACAACTCCATTCAAGTCAGCCTGAAGTGCCAAGCAGTCATCGTGTCGCTTTATTTGCATTGAAAAACGAGTGTCATCGGCAAACGATTGCAAGTTAGAGTTGACTATGCAATGGGGTAGATCAATAATGAACAGGACAAACAGTGTCGCTCCAATCGGGTATCCCTGACCTGTTCCTGATGTTACTTCGATGGGATTTGACATGGCTCCGGTCAATTTTACTATTTGTTGACGCTCACTTAGATATGATTTTATCCATTTCAGTATTTGTTTATTCAATCCCATAATTTTCAGCTTGTGTATGAGTAGGTTCAAGTCAACCGAGTCAAACGCTTTAGCAAGATCGAGATATATTGCATCAGTTTGAGTTCCATGTTGCATGTTGACTAACGTATGTGAAGTAAATTCAGCCAGATTCGTTACTGTTGACCTTCCTTTGACAAAACCATGCTGGCTGTCATCGATGATGTTCCTCATGTGATAATTCAAATGATTTGGCCTTGGAAAGTAGATCATATCTTATTTTTCAGCGTTTTTGTGGAAAAAATGGTCGAAAATGGCCTCTTATGCTCGAAATAAAACTCTGAATTGAGTAAAGAAGTTGGTATATTTTGGTTTATTTCTTCAAAAACCAAAAGCCATTGATGTTGGAACGCAGAATAAGGCATTCTTGAAGTAGAAAAAGTGATTTTCTGTATAAAATATGGCGAGTTGAAAACATAAGCTGGAACAGGGCCATTTTTCGGCATTTTAGGCTCATCAAACAGGATTGAAATAAGTCTACATCGATTTATCGTCCAAAATTACGTGGAAATAGACTCATACCAGGCCACCACAGGCGAGTTTTCTGTGCCATAAGTGTGATTTTTTATGCGGATTTTGACCTTTCGTTTGTTCTATGAAAAAAAGTCAGTTTCAGACCAAATTTATAGGTAAACCGATTTCTCAGATCAAAACATCGTAAGAGGCCATTTTCGACCATTTTTTCCACAAAAACGCTGAAAAATAAGATATGATCTACTTTCCGAGGCCAAATACAAAAAATTGAATGGTCAATACACGGAATTTGAATTTCTTATCTGAAGCGGCGCGACATGGGCCATCTTTTGACGCGAAAAAAACATTTCAAAAAAAGACCGTGTTTTTTACTTTTTTCACTTTTTATACTTTGAACCCATTTTTGGGAGCCCCAATGGGGTCAAAGGGAGTGAGTTACTAGGCAGTTTTTGTAGCCCCATCGATTACCTTTCTAACGGTACCAGGGTCTTGGCAATGTGTCAACTACTTCATAGTAAGATTTCAGTTGGCGCAAACCCTTTTTTTCGATTTTTTCAATTTTTTGAAAAATTTACACTGGGTGAACTCGAAAATGTGGGCCACTTACAGCCCTAAGATTTTGGTTTTCTCGTTTTCTACCGAAAACAAAACTCCATGCAAATTTTCAGCCAATTCGCAGAGGGTCGATCCAATTCTTAACTGATTTCGTGTGGAATGGTCGTTATATAAACTTCACTAATTGACCTGAACTTGATTTTAGGCAATCAACTTTTAATTGATTGGTTCATACAGTGTGTTGCTCCAGATAAGTGTGACAGTACCAAAGATGAATACGAAACACTGGTACTGCGAAAAGGAAACGAGTCTTTTGATGCTGATCAATTTGAGTATATCCCGCAAAGCGAAGTTATTGCAGATCCAAATGAAAATCCCTGCCACATTCGCTATATGAATGGGAGAATTTTTTATGGCAACAGATTCCCATTGCCTGCGAAGCTTTCTTTCAGCGCAACAATACCTTGTTCTTCTGATTCGCTCGAACCTGAAAAGCAATCAGTTATGGGAAGCGGCGACAAAAATTTACATTATCATTGCGTCCACAATATCAAAGACTTTGCCGATAGTAAGATGCGTGACCGCCATCATTTGGAAGTCGGAAACAGTGGTCCAACTGAGGACGTTGATAATAGTGACGACGAGCAACACTTTTCAATACCTTTCGAAAAAATGGATGAGGAAGATGGTGAATCGGTTTCCAATCACATTCTTTGTGATGACGCTTCATTAAGAGCCCACTCAATCAGACTGAATCCATCATTGCATTTACCAGTACAGACAAAATCAGCTCACATTCGTAAAACCAATTCTCCAAATGCGAAAAAAATGGCATTAGATGGATCTAAATCACCAATTAATAAGAAAACCGTGTCACCTCTTTCGATGACGCCGCAAAATGTTGAAAGTGGATCTACAGTCCAACAAGAATCAAATGTCATTCAAACTGCAAAAAAACTAAAACGTATTCTGGAAACAAGTGATCAAATGGCATCAAATAGCTGTCTACCAAATCCAACGGATGACTCTTCAAGACGTGTCAACACTTTGCAAAAAAAGAAAAGTCACATGCTTTCTAAACCGATTAAAAAACAAAAACGTGCTCATGAGTACTGCGATTCAGGTGATGATGAGGGAGAAACTGTAGAAGAGTTCGAATCAAAAACACGAAATGATATCAACATCCGAAAAATAGATACATTGCCGGAAATCCAAGGTCAATGGACTCGAGAGGAAGACAGACTACTGCTCGAACAAATAAAAGCCGGCCTGTCCATGACCGGTCTAGATATGAACCGTTTCCCGAACAAAACGCAAGACCAAATTTCGCATCGCATCGACTTTCTAATAGATTTTCTCACCAAATTACGAAATAAACAAAACTAAAATTGATAGAGTATACATAAAACACAAAGTTAATAAAATTATACATATGTATTTTTTTCAATATATATCTATATTAAATATAGAAATGTTTCAAAATTCACTATGTTCACGTGGAAACAATATTAGTTCGAATACATTTTTCGAATATGCTTTCTCAGATAACTTGCATGATCTATTTTACAGGGTCCTCATCAAGTATTAATGTTGCCGCATATGCGATAGCGAAACATCCACATGAAGTTTCATCGACTTGTAGAATATTGGGTTTGACGAATTCGATATTTTTCCGTCTAGGATAGCGGTAAATTATAATCTGAATTTGCCGTTCATCGAGATTGCGTTGGAATAAGCTGTCGTAGACGTACACCGTTTGGTTTTCTTCTTTGTAGAAAATGCTAATGAAATGGCCTACTATATTTCCACCGTAAAGAATTTGAACATCGTCTTTATCAAGTGATTTGTAAACATATAGTTCTGGAAAATAGTAAGAAACAACATCAATCATGTCAAAATTAGTTTTGGCTCTAACCAGACTTATAAAGTGATTAATAGTGAAGTCACTTAGAAATGAATTAGGCGTTTCAAGCTCACGTAATACTTCTTTTTGATAAATTCCTGAAATTTGTTTTTTTTTCATTAATTATAATTAATAAAATGATTTGTTTTTTATCCACAATTTAAACCCAGTTAATTCGCAAAATGCAATTTACTTACAATATTATCAAAAGAACTTGTAATGATATCGGCGAAAGTGTCATCTTAAATTTTAATTTGAAAAGTTAGGCAGATGTTGTTACAATGTCTGTTTCAAAATACTCAAAATCTAACTAGCAATTGTGTGTGCAAACGTATGTAAACATTTGAAATAGCGTGATGTTTACACTATCACAAATTACAAACTTACACTTGATCTTAATCAAACATATGTTTGTGTTTCTGTCAACATTATTGTGAAAGAACACGTTTATTTTAATTCAAGTCGATATGAAAGAATAAATGCACCATTTCTAACATCAATATATATGAAGAAAAATTTAATAAAAGATTTTTTAATAGTAACGAAAAGGAATGGTTATTCCATTGGACGAATCTAAATTAGGTAAATTAACTATAATTAACATTCATTAATTATAATAACATAAATATTTCCTTGAACGTAAGCTGCAATCATTTCCAGAGCTGCTCGTTGCATTTTCAACATCGTCCGCTTTGGGTGGTGATTTCCAGTGTTTTGTATAAGACGCGTATTGCCGGCGAGGAAACGTTGGTTTGGGCGTTAACAATTGACCTTTGAGGTAAAGTGCGGATGACTTGATCACATCAAACCCATCACATTTATTTGCTTCCGATAGTATGCTTTGTTTCATTTTTTTATCCTGACACCACGTTGAGTGTTCAATAGCATCCATATTTTCACAATCACTACCAGATTTTGAAATTTTCCGCCGATCTGTATCCCATACTCTCTTCTTTCGTTCGTTCCATAAAAAAGTTCGTTCTCTCTTCTTTCGTTGTGTGTTGTCCATGGATTTTATTGTCGAGCATTCTAGTAATTCGGGTAGGATCAGTTTGTCGTTGTAATCATTCTAAAAAAAATTGGAAAATGATTACATGAGCATAAAAATGAATATTACAACAGGTTCAGTATCATATTTTTCTACTTTGATTATGTAGCTATCCAAATTTTTGGAAATTATTTTCCAACTTATGTTGTCGGGTATATTTTCGATATCGTCTATATCACGACGTGTTTCTTTGAGCAACATTTTTGGCTTCAAACTTAGAATAGAATGTGCAGATGTGCAAGAAGATGTATGTAGGTGTAGGTGCTCACAATCCATATCAGCGTGAATGTCTGCGATCACAACTGTAGAGTGTTCTGCAAGCTGCACGAAAAAAAAATCAATTGAATGCGCAAACATTTAACAAAAACAATTTTACCATTTCTCGTGGACCATCCGATTCTATTTCGTCGCTCATTTTTACGAAACGCAGATACGATGTGAGCCAAATGTCATAATCACGTTTAATCGAAACGTCAAGAGAATTTTGGCTAAAAATTGATCCTCAACATATAATTTGTTTGATCAAATATATGCTTTCTACAATACAACCGTTAGCAAATCTATAACACTAACGTCCATATTGGTGGGGATAGTATGATTTAACGAATGGAATGTATTCAATTTATTTGTAATCATAGTTTTATTCAAAGCAATACAATGCATTTCGTTTTTCCAATATCAAATTAACTCGAATCGAACCGGTCCATTTTTATATGTTTTGTCAAATTTTGAAAACATGTCAGAAATGCAATTTTCGGGTGTTACAAAAAAACTAAAAAACTGAATAAATGTTCTTTTTTTATTATAATACGACTGTATTTCTTTTCTGCAAATGAAAGAAACTAAATTTATTTCTGAAGAAAGTGTTTTTTCAATGGCCGGTGCAGCGTGTGCATTTGAATTTGAACACATATACAATTGCATTGTAGAACTTTTGACAGTTCTAGGTAGGTGAAATGTATTGTGACTGTCAACAATTTGTCGAAACCGCTTAGCGGTGACAGCTAAATAGAAATCATTTGGAAAAAAGGTATTTCACAATTTGGTCACACAGCAATTTTGTACTGCTCACTACAATTCGGCGAATCAGTTGAGCTTCTTATATAAAAAGAAATATCGACGAAAAAATACGATGGTGTTAATTGCTATTGACCGTCATAGTCGCAAAATCCTCGGTTATTTATGTCGAAACTACAACAGCGTACTGGCGTACTGTTGTAGTTGTTGCGATGTAGAGTTCACAACGGCAATCGATTTAGAGAGGCACATGGTTGTACATGAAAGTTTGCAAACTAGCACACCAACAATACAACATACAATTAGCGAAGGCGATGTACCGTTGAATGTACTAAGTGATATCGAGAGGGAAAAGCATTTAAAGATGAAATACCAGGTAATTTTTGTATGGTTCTTCGTATCGTTTTGTTCTACCACTAATTTGTGCGAACCATTTCAGTTGACCCCATGCAGCGTACAACTATTTCGATTTGATAATGATGATGGCGATGGAGATAAAGATGATGATGAAGACAAAGGCATGGATATGGAGATTGACACATCTATGGCGGCTGCCATGGACAATACAAATCAAGAGAATACGGCTCCAGCTAAAGAGCAATCGATGAAAAGACGTCCGGGTCCTGCTTCTAAAAAGCATAAAATTGGAAATAAAGATACGAAAAAGGTGTTGAAAAAACAATCACCACCGGCTGTATGCTATCTATGCGGGCAAAAGTTTCATTCGACCATCGCATTGGAGCAGCATCAAAAGACTCACATCCAAAGCAGCATCGTTTCTCCGGTCTTTCCCTGCAAAGTTTGTGGTAAGAACGTGAGGAATTTGAAGAAACATCTACATCAACATAAAAATGAAAAGAAAAACAAAGGCCAGAGAGCCACTGCATCGGTTAGCAGCACCATGGTAAAACCAAACGATACAAAGAACATTTTGGTACCGGTGAAATCAGTAGAAGCGGCAACACTACCAACTGATACAAAAGTCGAAGAAGCGTCCAGTTCAACTGACGCAGTAATCACATCTATTCCAGGTGTAAAGGAAACCGAAAACGACATAACGTCAAACGAAGCTGCTATGCTATCGCACGATGTTCGTGTCGAGTCGGAAACGTCAATGCCAATGCCACCAATCGTTATTGAAGAAGATCCAATAGATTCTCAATCGACTGAACAAACAGTGGGTATATTGGCTACTACTGACGAAAGTGTTTTGCAGGAGAATCTGATTCCAGAAAAAGTCATTCAGTCTCCATCCGACAAAAAGGTTCAATGCGATTTTTGCAGCAAGTTAGTGGGCATCAGTTATAGGAGAATTCACATGAAAAAGTATCACACCAACATTCCATCAGAAACAAAAAATTGAAGTTCTCCTTCAGCTACTTCATTAACAATCATAATTTACATTTGTCATCGATAGCAATTTCATTGAACAAATATTACTTTTTTAAAGAAATTAAGCGCACTGTGTGCGAACTTTATTAATCACTTAAACTACCCAAACTTTCCATAATTTGTTTACGTTTACATTTGAGGTTATGTTCATCTATTTGGACAAATTGAATATTCAAATTGGACAACTATGGTAGATATTTCAATACTTACGAAATTTAGAAATAAGTTCCGTTTATTTCTACAGTGGATATGAACTCGAAAAAACGCAATTGAGCATGAATAACTACGCCTTTTCAGTGAATTTTATGATAATTAAATCGCGTCTCGTAGCATTGCAACAGCATATTAAGAACGCACGGAAAAATTGATTTATTTAATTAAATGAAAATTTGGTGGTATTCAAATTGATTGAAAACAAACGTGTGTAATTATTTGATAAGATTAAAACAGAATTTGAGCGGAGCATTTAAAATTCGGTTTCTTAAAGTAAATATATAGGTAACAATGAACAAGAAAAATTCAGCTATTGTCACTAAGCAGCGCTTAGTAAGCATTAGAAATAGTTTTATTATTTATTAAAACTGCCTAAGATTTTGATACTGCATTCAATAACAATGGAATTACTGCCCAATCAGCACATTGTTCGGCTAAAAATCGAATGATGGCCCGTCTATGGCACTCGAATGCTTCTCGATATCCGAACATTTCTTTTAGTTCACTGGTGAATTTTAAATCGTATGCCGCCACATTCAAGCAGTATAAAAATGATTTGATTCGATCGTTATCGGAATCACAATCACGTTGCGGTATAATGATTTTCATGAGTATTTTCCATGCAGGCTTATGATAATCTCCGTTCGCCGTGAGTAATTGGTTGCGTATCTTTTCAGCGTCCGTTGAACCAATCGACGCGAGATAATTGATAAGTGCAGTATATTGAGCCAAATTACCTTCGTTGATTGGCTCATGTTCAAAGTAAATCAATTCATTCATTTTGTATAAAACAAATTGTCGATGAAAATAGCCACTGTAATCACCTATATGCTTTCTGATGAAACGTTCAGTTGTTTGTAGTTCGTATTGCAACAGAAATGGTGCCTTTTGTAGAACCCATTGTCGATGTGCCCATGCTTGATAGTTACTCAAACTTTTCGATGCACAGCGCTCACATAAGCTTAATTCACGCGTCCAATCAATTGACTCATGGCTTTGAAATGAAAACAACCAACGACGATAGAAAAATGCATCATTTGATTTTGGTTTTTTGCTCAAGACAATAGCCGAAAATTTGAATTCGCGGCCAATGTCCAGGCGATCTTTTTGCAATAGTCGCCGTCTAGCATTCCAAAAGGTGCTACGAAAATAAAAAGAAATGGAGAATTAAAATAAAAACGACAATATTTTCATATGAAAAAGTTTCAAAGGTTTTCGATAAATACCTCACATCGGGATTTATCAGTAGTGCACAATTCAGATATTTAACCAATGTATGGTTGAACGGATGATGTGGTTGATCATTTCCATTTCCTTCATGAGTTTGGCACGACAAATGATGTGGATATTTCTTAACTGCTGCTAAAATAATCTGATGAGCATGCTTGTAGACACAAGGACAGCACCATGATTCCAACCCCAAGTGATTGTCTACATGAACGACAGGTGTTTTATTTTTTGTTTGACTTTCATCAACATTGATGATCTCAAACGTTGATCTGGCAGCAATCGATCAGCGAACATAAAAAATAGCAGAATATAAATGCATTATTAGAAATTATTTAAATGTTTTTCCAGGAAAATTTAGGCGAAAAAAAACTCACAGATTTGGGTCTTTGTTGAAAACAGCATCAATATCGTTGATTATTTTCTCGCAAACATCATGATTTTCGTAGTCCATTTTCAGAAGAATTGAATTCAGTGCTAAAACAGTCCGTTGTCGATCGAACACAATGCGTAAATATATTTTCGGCGCAGAAAATTATTCTCAATTATCAATTTTTTTTTATTTTATCAATTTAACTTCTGGATCTTTTCACATAGAGTAGAAATAAAAACACACATACAACTCTATTGATGCAGTTCCAACATTCAATTTGAATATGGTATACGCGCCAATTTGCTTGAATCTAATGCGGTAAATTATTATTATTATCTACTGCGGCACTCAAAAATACACTCATCACGTATACGCAACTACTTTGAAAGTTCTAAACACTGAGCAGCGTTCGCAATTGATTTTGATTGAAACCACCTTGAAAACATTGTTGTCCCTTTTTTTTCCCAAAGTAAGCATATATGTATAGTATATCAGTCAATTAAACGTGATTTTACTTCGTTTAATTCCAATAAAAAAAATACTTGTTTTTTTGCTTCTTCATTTACTCCTGGCGTCACTAATGTAGTAAAACACTGCCTGTGCTCATTTTTGGATTGAATGATGCGCGCAAAAAATGGCAATTGCAATCGTTGAAACGATATGCACTTATTTTACACTACAGAACAATTTTTCTGAAAAAGTTTTGGTTGGTCAAGCTGTTTTTTTTAGAACAGATTGAGTTTATCATAAAATATAACTGAATGCAATTCTGACAGCAATACAATGACCGAAAGTATTTTATTCTCACTTGAATATACACAACACATCAACGAAGAGCCTATGAATTAACTGAGTTCTTCTCGCGGCACACAAACAGCAAAATGACCAAGAAAAAAATAAGAGTGGCTTTTCTTGGTTGTACTTGTGCGTTTTTGGTTTTATTATATATTCTGATGTATATTCAGTTGATGTTTATGTGTCAAAACATATTTTTTAACACACGTATTTTGTGTTATTGAATTGAATTCCATAGAATCGATCTATTTGTATGCATGTATTTGTGCATTGACAATTGAATCAGAGCAATGCCCATGTGTTTGACATACACTCACAAACACTTCAACTACATCATCATATATACTAGTATTATGTATATATGTATAATTATACTGCGTAGTGAACGTCGTATATTCGAACCCTGTATCAGAAGTGAACCCTGCATTTGTGTACCAATTCGGAAGTAAAAAATTGATAAAACTATATTATTATAAGAAAATTATAAAAAAGTTTTTTATTCATAGGATTTTTGAAAAAAAAAACTATTTCTCCTCTTTGAGAACGTGTTTTGATTTCTCTGAAACGAATGGTACAGCACCAAGAACTGAATGAACACGACGATTGTGCTCCTTTCGAATCTCTTTGTCGCGCATAATACGATGTTTTTTGGTGACATTGAGAACACCTTTCGGAACGTGACGATGTTTTGCAATGCGTTTGATCTGTGGATGAGCTGAAAACTTCTCCTTAAGAGCTTCGTTGTACTCTAATTTGGCGCGTTCTCGTGGTCGTAGTGCTCCCAATTTTTCAGAGGCATTTGCCTTCCATAAACGAATATTCATTTCATCGGAACCGCTATATATATATTTGTTGTCTAACGACCAACCTGCAAATTTAAAAGTTCAACCCTCCATTCAGTTATATTGTCCATTGTCCAGTAAATATCAGAATAATTTTTATTAAAACGAAACTCACCTATGCATGTGACATGTTGCATACGTTTTGTGTGATATATTTCCCTTGAATGAGCTTGTTCCACATTATAAATCCGAATTGTGCGGTCATAGCTAGCGGAGACAAATTCTTTGCCAGTGGGTGAATAGTCAATATCGGTAACCGCATTGACATGATCTTTATGAATTTTTATTGGATTTTGAAGGCGTCGTGTGTCAAACGTGTATAGGTTGTAGTCTTCATTTGCAACGGTGAAATTGAATGCAGCCATAGGATTCCATCGTAGACGATTTGCTCGCAAAGTCATTACAATTTTTCGCAATGGCTTGGCCTCTCTCATGTCATAAAAAATGATGGATCTATCGCTTGCACATGTGGCTAACAACGACGATTCAATGGGATTAAAAGCAATTGCGTGCATTGTGTCCACGCCCCACTTAAAGGTTTTGATCGGTTCATTTCTTGTATGCTCCCAAATGGAACATACTTCGCCGGATGTTGCAAATGTATTTTCTTTTTGATGATGCGATATATCTGTGAGAGTTGTTCGACTAAGAAATGTAGAAATTGGTTCTTCCACTTCCGCATCTAATTCATCTTGTGGAGCATTCTTCCATAACTTGATGACTTTGTCGTCACCGCATGAAAGAAATTGCTTGTCATTCACAGAATGATTCGGAATATAACAAATGCCACGGACATAACCTTCATGAGCAACAAATGCACGACAACATTTTCTCGTTATCAAATTCCATTCACGTATTTCGCCGTCATATGAGCCGCTGGTAAGTGAAGACAAACTAGTTGGATCCTTAGCAAAGCATGTAATACCTTCTCGATGTCCAGCCAAGTCTCCAATGAATGGTTTTGCAAAAACTCGATCCAATTTTGTAGCATTCAGGGCTCGGACGTATTCGCCTGCATAATACATTTGAGAGGGAAATGCGCTGGGTAAACAAGAAATATTCATATCAATGAGGTTATTGTAGAAGAAAATGACTTACGCGCTCCTTCCATGGGATGAAGACTTGGATCATAATTGCGTTTCAATCGATGGATATCATGCTTGGTCTCTCGCATGTACTCATCTGGATTTCTGCTAATAACTCGCACTTTCATATCGTGATTTTTGATTGCTTTTGACAGAATTTTTGGAAAACAATTCACTTTATTTGTGTCGTAGAACGCTTCATTAAAACAAACATGTGGTCCACTTTGACTTTGTATATGAGCCGAGAACTAGCTGTCAATTTATTTGAAATGTCAAAATAATCACGTAGTCCGTAGTGCTATTTATGTCAAATGAAAAATATATCAATGTTTATGAAATCGAGGCCAAAAGCAAAATTAGTCGTAATTCAGCTGAAAAAATAGTGAGGATGTCTACAAAAGTGGTAGCAACAGCAGCTGTAAGGGCAGCAACACGAAAATTAACTGCTTCAAGAGCCGCATTAACGCTGGTAATTTTTATATTTCCATTATTCGTACTGAATCAACAATGCAAAAGTCAATCGAGTCATTCGCTTCTTATTCGCTTTTCCACAGACACCAGCAGCCGTGAATCGAGTAAAACAGCTTTTAAGCGATAAGCCTGATGTTGTAAGTTATTTCTGATTTTCATTTTATTGTGTTCCCAAAATTATCAAAATGATTTTTCAATTTTTGTTAAGCTGGGCCTCAAAGTTGGTGTAAAGCAAAGAGGTTGCAATGGACTCTCCTACACACTAGAATATGCAAAATGCAAAGGTAATTCTTCAGAAATGCTATATATATCAAACACAATTTTATAAAGTTCAAGAATATCTGTCGTAGACAAATTGGATGAAGAGGTAAAGCAAGACGGGGCTGTCATTTTAATCGATAAGAAGGCCCAGCTTTCACTCCTTGGTACAGAAATGGATTTCGTAGAAAACAAACTTTCAGCAGAATTTGTCTTCAACAATCCGAACATAAAGGGAACATGTGGGTGCGGGGAATCGTTTTCACTATGACCCCCCTCTGAAGAGCTGTGAGTTTGAACTCACTCCTATGAGTTTAGTGCTTGGATTGAGCTAAATTTAAACTTAGTTACATATAGAATGTTACCAAACCTGATGAAAATTTATTATTTTACCCTGTAAAGCTTTAGGAATAAATAAATGCAATTAATGTAGAATTTCTGATAGATTTTTTTATTCGTTGAGAATCATTAACATTAATAGGAAAATTCCTGTTTGTACGGATGTGTACAGATTCTGTACTACAGAAATATGGGGGAGACTTGAAAAAAAGAAGATTTGTTCAACTTTGTAGCTCAGTTCAAAACAGGATCAAAGACACATTTTTTCAGTTGAAAAATTTGAATCGAAAAAAATATACCTACTCCGTTTCGCCAAATTACATAAAAAGCTCAGAAAATGTACGGCAAGAATTTTCTTTGTTCTAGTTCGAAATGTACTTGTACAATACAGTAGGCTTTGAAAACTAAAAAATCAATTTAATTAATGGATTGGTTAATGGATTTTATTAATCCTACATTTTCTTCTACTTAAAATTATGTCGAAATTCCGTATACAAATTGTTTAAAAATTAAACTTAAAATCTATATTGAAAATAGTTTGCCTCTCTGATATCTGTTTTTATGTAATGTCATTCAGAATTCCCTTCCCGTAAAACTCCATTACAGTTTCTCTCATTCGTGTATGGTATTCGGGGGTCTGCATTTGCGTCATTGTTTTTTCTTGATTATCACTCTTGAAGTCATCGATTGTAACTGCATCCAAATCCACAATTTTGTCCGGATGGAAAGTTACAGCAGGCAAAAGCCACATGCAAATACCCAAACCATACATGTATCTATCTCGTAATTCACTTCTAATTATTTCGTTTAATGTTTGCATATTCGGCACATATCTGGGGTGAAATTATGGAAATAAAAACAAATATAAACAATGAAACAATTAGATGAAAATGCAAATAACAAGTAAAAATTTCAAGGCACATACTCATCATGAACATCAAATTTTTGCAGCGTTGTGTATAGGGACTCAACATAGTCATCTATCAGTTGATCCATGTGATTTTCTCGCACGACGTATTCAGTGCTTGTATAAAGAAAGTGTAATATGTCGATGACTGGTGACGTATATCTAAGCGTTTGTAAATCAATGAATTTCACACCATCACACTTGTTATGGTGATCACACCGCCACATTATATTATTTATCCAGAGGTCGCCGTGAGCCACAATAAAAAATTCTTCGCTGGGATTACCTTTCACGCAGTCAAACATTTGTCTAAAAAGTTGCCCTTTGAGCTTCTCTACTTGTAGAATAGCAGGGGCGAGGTTTACATAGGTTTGACTCGAATTTCGTAGACTGAACAATGCCTCTTTCAATGAACACTCCAAGCTATGTGTAAAAAAATCTGCCGCCTCAGCACAATAGATGGATTCACCTATATTTGAAACCACCTCCGCAAATTCATTGCAGTGCAAGATCTTGGCCGCTAGACTCAAGCCATGTACAACTCCCAATTCCTATAATCAAAAGAAATGCACCCTTGTTGTATTTTAATGTCGATTTCAAAAGTGTCTTCAACGGACTGACCTGTAATACGAGTTTGCATTGTATGTAATCAAGACCTTTTAATCGATTTCCCATTCGATAACCAAATGGCTTTAGATCTTCCAAAACAATCAGATCATCATCGTTTTCATCTGTCCCGGCGAACAAACAATTTACCTTAAATTAAACATCATGAAACTTTAAGAATCTTTTCTTTTTCGTCAAAAAAAACCGGAACCCCGCATAGGTTCTGACATTGGCGATTTAAGCGAGGGGTAATTTGGAAAAAAGTGAAAAAATTCTGGGTTATTCTAGAGAAATCGAAAATAATTGGGGGGTAATTTCAAAAATTTGCTTCAAAATCAAGGGGGCAAACAAAAACCTATGAGCGACACTGACATCGTATATTCTGGTAGCAATAAAGGTGTCAATCGAAACAAATTTTCATTATTATTTTTGAATGTTCGATCGTTTGTTCGGGAAAAACTTCAAACACACGAAAAATAAACAATTACATCGAGGTCCTCAGAATCGGCTGAAACTTTGCACGGAAGTTGTGTTTGGGCAAAAAATCAGAAAGCCAAATTTTTCTCCCGAGGTCTAGTTTTATCCGGAAATTTTTGAATTTTTGGACCATTGATAACAAATTTCAACGCAATCATATCTGGATGAAATTTTCACACAAGTTAGAGTTTGAGAAGGCCTAGGAAAAGCAAAGTGAGGAAAAGCCTAGTGAGGAAAAAAATAGCAGTTTTTTCAGATCAAAACATCGTAAGAAGCCATTTTAGGTCATCTTTCAAACAAATAAAGACAGTCGAAAAATCGGAAAATTTGAAAAAAATTATGTTTTGTCTCAAAAATTTCTATCGCTCAATTTCGACTATTTTTGGTGAGAAATCGAAAAAAACATTAAAAACCGCCACTTAAAGAGGGGGCATTTTGTTTGCCCACTCTGAATGATTGGTAGCCTGAAAATCGTGTCAGACGGCATCTGGGGAGGTACTCTAAAGGTGTGATCGATAGGCCTTCTCAAACTCCAACATGTGTGAAAATTTCATTCAGATATGATGGCGTTGAAGTTTTTTATCACTGGTCCAAAAATTCGAAAACTTCCGAAATTTTAATTTTTGGATGACCAGAACCAGACCCCGGGAAAAAAAATTGGCTATCTGATGTGAATTTTGATTGATTTCTTGTGGAATGGTCGAATTGAATTGATTTGAAGAAAAAAAATCACTTGATCGCACTTTGTAGTTTGAGTCAATTTTAACCCCTTCCCTGCAACTTTTTTGTTGTTTCTTCATTGAATATTCTAATAGGGCTTAATATCTCCATAATTCCAAAAAGCCATCAAGCATGAATTTACATATGACAATTTTTAAGTTCATTTATTTAACACCGTCAAAAGACTGGCTGAATAATTATTTTTGCAGGAAAATGACTCCAAGAGTCATAAAAAACCTGATCTTTTGATTTTTGTACAATTTAGTGTATAACAATATATGTGTATAAAAAACACCTAGTGGCGGGTTTTTGAAACTTCTTGCTGTGTTATGTCAGGAATATATTAACCTTCAAACCGTGAAACCTATTTTATAACGTTGTTCGTGAAACCGGCGCCTGAGTGCCCCAAGTGCATTTTTGTATAAAAACTAGAGTGTGATAAGAGATAAACGATTTATGTCTTGAGCAAAATTATAGAGCATGTCAAGTACTAAAATATTCTTGCAAACTCTATTCCGTTATCTCTTATCAGTTCCGCGAAAAACCGTCAAAAACGCGAAAAACGCGAGATTTTCCATATCATTTTTTACAGAACTGATAAGAGATAAGAGATATTTGTCTTGAGCAAAGTTGTAGAACAGGTTGAGTTCTACAACATTCCCGAAGACACTAACTTGTTATCTCTTATCAGTTACGCGAAAAATGATAACATAAAAATCGCGTTTTTCGCGGTTTTTTGAGTAACTGATCAGATGAAAAACCTCTAGACGAGGTTAAAATGGAGTGACGCTCCTGTGCGTGGATTTAGCACTCAAAATGACTGATATCATTTTGAGTGACTCTAGGACGCTGGTTTATCTCTGGATACAAAGTTCAAAAGTGTTTTTCGCATTCACTATTGTGAAAATTTACTCACAATAAGGAAAAATATCTTGCGTCACGACTTTTGATTTTAGATCAAGTTTTCAAGCGTTTTGTCGTCTAAAAGTCGTGACAAGATATTTTTCCTTATTGTAAATAAATTTTCACAATAGTGAATGAGAAAAATACTTTTGAACTTTGTATCCAGAGATAAACCAGCGTCCTAGCGTCACTCAAAATGATATCAGTCATTTTCAGTGCTAAATCCACGCACAGGAGCGTCACTCCATTTTAACCTCGTCTAGAGGTTTTTCATCTGATATCACTAATTTTGTAAGGCATTTTTTTATTTGGAAAAATACATTTTTAGCAGAAGTATGTCTGAGTAACACATTCGCATTCTAATTTCACAAGTTCTGGAATTATTCTCGGAAAAATACACTTTTGCCAGAAATATGTCTATTTTAAGGTCTTATCATTGGGAAATTGTAATTTTTTGGGTAAAACATTTGCATCCACATTTCACAAGTTTTGTAAATAGCAAATTTCCACTTTCATTAAAAAAGTCCCATTTCCCCTTATTGGACATTGTAAAATGTGATTAAATTTCAAAATATCCATTAAAAGAGTTTTGAAGTAATTTTAGACCCATTATTTCATTGAAACATATTAATTTCCAACCACCAAAGCTCTGGAAAGTGCATTTTTTATGCATCCCCCGAACAAAAGTTCAATTTCATACATTCAGATGCAAAAATGCCGATTTATGACCAAAATGACAACGAAAAGGATATTCAAGTGTTCGTGGACTCCCATTATTTTCACGAAAAAATAGCAGTTTTCTAAGACCAAATTGTCGTCAGAGGTCTATTTCACGTGTTTTTCGAACAAAAATGTCATTTTCAGTGAAAATAGAGCAAGTTGAAAAGTTCACTTCAATCCGACCTATTTTTCGACCATGAAATGGCCTCAGATCGCATCGTGACCACTTTTAATCGATTGCGCGTCGAAAATTGAGCGGATATGTCTTTCGTGAGCCTTTTTCAGCCAGTAGATGCGTATTCTTGGCAGCAATTTCATCGTAGAAATGCGACTCTTCGTACAAATTCCGTTCATTGATGAATTGCCTATGCCCAGAACTTCGAAATACGAATTTTCCCGGATATATGGCATATGCCATTTTGTTGGTATGGTAGCCGGCTACAAAGCTCAGTTTTTGGTAAAAGATTGTCGGGATGATTTTTGAGAAACCGCCTTTGGCGTGAAATTTAAGGGAGTCGATTTTTCATAAAAATCGACTTTTTTCTTTTATATCACATAAACATTGGCATGTGTGTATGGAACTTTTTGAAGGTCTTCTCAAATGATTACGAGCTGACTTTGCCCGATGGGCGTCTGAGTTGATCTAGTGTGCGAAATAAATACTTGAAAAAATCGTATACATGCAGGCTAGTGAAGCCATAGCCAGCTCTCCTGTAATGCAAATGTCAATCTGAGGACGGGTTTCGATGTGGCCCGACACCAGCTACAGCTTGGGCATATCGGCACCGGAATCTGTGGGGGTCAAAAAAGTTTCCGGACACACGGACAATAAAAAAATAAATCAATACTTTCATAAAAAATCAAGATCAAACTGCCAATGCCCATAAATTTTTCGTTTTTGGACCAATCGGAGCGCTTGGACCGGCGTTCGAAAGGAGGTGAGAAGGATCTTCTCTTGGACACCTCAGACCAACCCCTGGGTACCCCCTTCGTAAGATATGCTTATAGATTTGAAAATTTATTGAAATTTTCCAACCGCTATATTTTTGTCTAGACCACACTTTAGGCATGGGGGATATAGTGTTTCCGACTATTCGGGCCAAGACCTTTCCAACGGTACCTAACATACCGGGGCTCAAATAGTGTCCTGAGAAAATAGCATACTTACTGTATATATACTCGTGACGCAAAAACTGGCATTTTTGATATTTGGCTTGAAATGCACAGTCTATGGAGCGTCACTTGTCGGACTATCGTCCTCCGTGATAAGATATAACAAGTTAAAGTTTTCGGAAATGTTGTAGAACTCAACCTGTTCTACAACTTTGCTGAAGACAGATATCTCTTATCTCTTATCAGTCCATTAAAAAATTAGATACAAAAAATACACGTCTTCCGCGTTTTTTGCATATTTCGCGGAACTGATAAGAGATAACGGAATAGTGTTTGTAGAAATATTGTAGTACTTGACATGCTCTATAACTTTGCTCAAGACACAAATCTTTTATCTCTTATCACACTCTGGTTTTCATACAAAAATGCACTTTGGGCACTCAGGCACCCGATTCACGTATAGCGCATCACACATGCTTATGCACATATGTGATGACGTAGTATGCGTATGTGAGTATGTTAGTGCAATTCATGTTGTAAAATGTTCAACAAATCGAACCATCTTTGTGTAAATCATTTATGATGAAAAATGATAAAGATATCGGCCATTCCACACGAAATCAGGGAAGAGTTGCGATGTGAGTTGCAATGTGAGGTAAAAAATTAACGCAAATATTTTAAAAGGAATAGATTATGGAGAGAGTAATTAATTTTATGCCAATACAGTAGAACCTCGATTATCCGTCCTCCCATTATCCATCACCTCCGTTAACCGTCACACCTTTTCAAGGTGGAAAAGTTTTTTTTAAGTTCATTTTCCAGTTTATTTCACTTGAACATACGAATAAAGTTGCCAACTAACTTTCATAATTAAAATCAATTATGTGCCGTTTGTACATTCGCACAATAAGATTTGAAATCAGAGGCTTTGCGTTTTCTGTATACTTCTCGTATATACAAGATTGTCCAATATATTGGACAATGCACCAAATCTGTTCTCATATCTATCATATATTTTCTACATCACCCGGTTTTTCATCATAAACTAATTAGAAAGTATGGATTCTCATATCTATCATATATTTTCTACATCACCCGGTTTTTCATCATAAACTAATTAGAAAGTATGGAAATTTTGATTACTTTGCCTTTTTTATGAGAATCTCGATTATCCGTCTTTTTCGATTATCCGTCAAGGCGCTGGTCCGGTGCCTAACGGATAATCGAGGTTCTACTGTATACCAATTCAATTAATGTAATAAAATGTAAATATATATAAAAGAATATCTATATATTAATCTACAAATGCAAAGTTGGTGGTACACTTTTGACCAACTTATGCTCAACCGATTTGGATGACATAGGTACCATTCGAAAGGTCTCCGAGCGTAGATGTGCACAAAGCCATAAAACACTCACTTTTGACATTTGAGACATGAGTTATGGCCGTTTGAGTGATGATGAGTTTTCCCCATATAAAATGTATGGGAGTTCACTCAAACGGCCATAACTCCGGTTGTATGTGTCGTATGTGAGTGTTTTTTGGCTTTAATCGCATCTAAGCGTGATTATCTTTCGAATGGTACTTATGCCGTTCAAATCGGTTGAATGGAAGTTGCTCATTTTGTGAAAAAATAATGAAATGATCGTTCTACGCATACAGCACAAGTCAAGTGCTGTTTGAGCTGTACTGTATGTATGAACGGTGCGGCCGTGTGGGAAAGTCTTTTGCGTGTTGTTCTGAGGGTCTGGGGTTCGATTTATTATGTGGTCAAAAACTTTTTTTTCTTTTATTTTTAATTTTTTATGTTTATTTTGAAAAAGTATTGCTATTTTGTGTATATTTTCATGTTAAATTTTTTTTTCATTATTTGAAATGGTTTAATTGTGTTTTTTTTATTTTGAAAATGAAATTCAATAGAATCTATGTTTTTGCGGTTGTATACGCTGAAATGATTGATTCTTTTGTAATTTTGTTGAAGAAAAATTTTTTGTGGTGTTTTTCTATGAAAAAAAATTAAATTTTGTTATTATTTAATAAAACAAATGGAAAAAAAGCAAAAAAATAACTTCCACCCGCCACTCCCCAAGCTGTGTTCCGAACCTCAAACCTTTTAATTTCAACGTATGCGTTATCCATACGGCCACACTGCCGTTATATATTCGTGGGTCCAAATGGTATTTGATTTAGCTTATAGAATGAATGCGGTAGCATAGCAGAACAGCATTACACAGTAGACATGTCTGTACATGTTTATTTGTTCGGCTGTTCGTTTTGCTGTTGTGTGGTTGTGCTGTGATGTAGAAAAGAAAACAAATCCACATAGTTTCGATAACTTCCACATCTTCACAGTTTCAAACATCTTCGAAAATCTTCACAGTTTTTACGTGAGAAATTCCCCTAGGGAGATAGAACAAAGCTAAACTTAAAACCACAACAAATACATGCTTCTTATTGAGCCGTAAATAGAGATACAGTGTGTAAAAGAATGAGAAAATTATGGAATTGAATGGAAATACTGTATGTGTTTTGTCTGGGAAATGGAATGATTTTTTTTTATTGAAATAATAAGAATTATAATTTCACTTTTTGTGATGTTCCATTTTGAAATATTAATGAGCGACTATGGGAGCCAAAAGTCGATGATGTGATCCAAATCACCCAATACACATTGTAGAAATTCCACCATTTCTCTTCTTGACAGTCGTGTAACGTAGGTTCTTTCTGCTGCAATTGTGATAGCAGCAACGTGGCAAGGAACCCTCATTTGCTCTGTCAGCGCAAGCACTTCCAATTCATTTTGTTGTTGTGTCAACAGTGGTGCAACACGGACCGTGAATTTGAGAAATATGATTCGTTTTTCCATTTCATCGATCAGTTTGCGTTCATCACTCTCCCATTTGTCCATGTCTGTGATTGAAAATACGTAGCTGGTGAATCGAGTGGAAACACCGCATTTCTTTGACACAATTCCAATCGGTCGTTGCATCGTGCCTAACAAGTGAATAAAACACGTGATACGAACAACGAAAAAAATGACTTCATATTTTTCGATTTGTTGAAGGAAATTTTAATTTGTTTCCATACTCACTGAATAATTTCACCATTTATTTTCTGAAATTTTCGCTGTGAAATTCGCAATATTCTTTCGTTGTTTGTTTTCGTTTTTTGTTCATTTGCTCTTGACAGCAGTGATATATACAATGTTTCAGTTCGGTCGCTGAAATGTACAGCATATAAACTGTTGAGACAGTCGAATGAGAGAGAGTATTGAGAAAGAGTTCGATTTGTGTGCACTGCAATGAATAACGTTTTTTGCTCCTCTTTGTGTGCGTGCGCAGATATACAGACTAAACAGAGAGACAATGTTTTGAGCTGCACACGAATGTTCTCTGTGACACACTGTGACACATTCGTAAACACTATGAATCACAAAGAGAAGCATCCATCTCCGACATTTTTTTCATTTCGCATTTTCTACATCGCTATCGTTTCTATTTATTGTGTGACGTCAGTGTTTCACACAAAGTCATTTCTATTCCTGTGAATTGCACGGCATTTTATAGCATATGTATGAAAGGAATGGATGAATTTTTTACTTTCCTTTGTGTGCGTGCACAGATATACATGATTGAAAGAGTCGAATGTTTTGTGTGGAGGGAAAGAGAAATTGGCGAAACTATTAATAATTAATTATATAAAATATTAATAGTAATTTTTTTGTTTGTGTGGTCAAATTTTGACCACGGGCGAGCCTAGTTTATATCAAATAAACCACCTCTGGCGAAGAAACGCTGTATGGTGCAGAATAATAATAATAATAATAACAAATATTCTCATAAACATCATCTTATGAATATCTGTCGGAAATAAAAAGAATTACATTCGCAATCCCAAACTGTTCCGTACCGTTTTCCGTATTTTTGGATTTTATACTTTTCTGCAGGACCCGAAGGTCCTAAAGGAAAGTATTGCGATTGGCTCAAATTTTAACACCCCCCACACACGACGACAACGACGACGACGATGACGACGACGGCAAACGAACGGAAAAGTGTCTCAAAAAGTGGTTAAGAAAAAACGCGTAGAAACGCGTAGAAACGCGTAGAAACGCGTTTCATGAGTTTTTTTGATGATCTAAACCAATTTTGCGAAAAAAGTTTTCGGGACCAATTCCTATACTTTCCCTTGACACGGTGTGTACGGAAAAGTAAAAGTGGGTTAGAGGGTTCTAGGTTGTTCCTGTGTACGGAAAAGTAAAATAACAGAATTAATGGGAAAAAACTGAAATTTCAATGCCGGTCCTAATTAAATTTCCATGACTTTATATCTTGAAAACTAGATTTGATGTGACCAAACTGATGATGTATTTGGATTCATAGGCTCAAAAAACAATAAAAATTACTCTCTCCTTGATTATTTACATGTTATTTTCGAAATTTGTAGCTATTATAATGATGAATCTATTTTTCAGCTTATATCGTAGGCCGTTCTCCTCAAAAATGAACACTTTTTATACATTGATAACATTGCATCTGGATTTTCTATAAAAGTGGCCTTCAATACCTTTTATTTAAGTCATAATATGTGTTGATATCATATCTCTATCCAAAGTTACAGTACTTTCTCTACAAAATTTAGTGGAAAATACGAGAATTTGGCCACTTTTCGGGGCTTTGGTGGGCTCAAAATGACTTATATCGATTGAATCAGTACAGTTCCTCTCTAGAATCTCAGAGAGAGATGTCAAACAAAGAATTTAAGTGCTATGTGGTCTAAATATGTTCATTGGGAATGCGCATTGAAATGTTAAAACCGAAGAGAAAGTTCAAGGAAATTTCGAAAAAATTGAGGGTCAAAAACCAAGCTTGTTCAAATCCGATCTTCATACTTTCAGAATCTTATTTTTTCACCAAAAAATGGAACGTAAGAAAGTTTGAAGCTATTCCAAAGCGTTTTACGGGCAACTCCCATACAAAATTGTCAAAATTTTGCCCGAAATTACCCATTTTTCACTAAAAACGATCAAAAATCGATGTGAAACCGATTGAGTGCTGTCCATTTGTATTATATTTGTTTAATTCTACAGCCGCAAAGCAATTAATTTGGTAAAAAATGTGATAGCAGCGAGTAAAAAGTAGATATTCCATCAAAAATGACTAAAATCGATTGTTTGGCGATATACATAATGCGCCAGGTCCCAATCAGAGGTTTTTGACATTTTTGGATTGGAATTTTCTTTTCCCATGATTCTTCAACGAATAGGCTATTTGCCCCCGAAATTCGTCAACTTTTGTCGGAAACGATGCAGTCTAGTAAAAGGTGGCCTGGATATCGTTGCCAGAACCTATGGGAACTCCTGAAAATTTGCAATTATCTCTCAGCTACGGCACTGTAGAGTTGTACTTACAAATGGTAAGGGTAGCCCAACGCTATCCGCAAACTGGTGGAATTGCGGCATAACTTTCGTATATGCAACAATTTCATTAGCAAAGGCAAAATCAGCGCGGAATAATATACGTCTCTTCAAATTTTGTAGCTGTCGCTTTACAATTAAACTGCGTTGATATATATCTGGAATAATAATAATAGAGAAGGTGAATATATGAATTTTTTGGGTGTTTGATTCCGTTTAAATAAGTGGTATTAATATTAGTCGAATAAAAAAAATTCCAACATTCTTCGCCATCCGTGCATTAGTGGATCAGTTATTTAGATTAGAGCATTTATTTCCCAGGTGCATTATTCATTATCATATTATAGCCGTATGAAATAAAATGTTCTTTGGTTGGTGCTACGGAGCTATTTTTCATTTTTAGTATACATGTATACATTTTCAACGTACGTACTCTCACTCTCTCCCCTTTCCCTTTCCCTTTCCACTGAGCTGTCCGAAACACGTGAGAAATGGAAGGAAATCAACACGAATTATTCCGATAAATACGAAATGCATTTATGACCTTGACATTACAAACACAAATCAACAGCGACGCTGCGCATTTTACCATATATTACACATTCGTCTATGTACTGTACATACGAAATGCATATATATCACATGTTTTCGTTCTTTGTGTAACTTCGTTTTCAGCTGGCTGCTTTATATGCTAGCAGTACACATGAACGTTGAATATTTATATATATACCATCTAACACCATAATATCACAAATGAAAACGCGAATAAATGCATATCGGTCGACTTGCAATAGAAGAATGACAATATTGTCATAAAAAATCAATAATCACGTACATACTGTATAACATTCAATGCCAATGCTATTTTGAAAATACTTTCCCACTCTAAATGTGTTTGTTTTCAAATATCTCATTTGAACTTGAGCTTCGAAATTTTCTCCAAATTTGATGAATAAATTTTTTCTTCTTATCGAAATTATTTGATATAAATGCACAAGTTTTGGTATGATTTTCGAACCAATCTCTAGATCGAATCTCGTTTTGGTCACCTCTCTTTGAATGTGCTTTTGTCTTTGCCGGGGCAACAAAATTACGTTTATGTAAACGAATTACGTTTATGTAAACGAATTACGTGATTTGAATAAAAATGAAAACGGTCTGAAATAAGTGACCGATAAACAGTGGTTGAACAATTTTCTTCTTATTTTGGCAACAAAAGAGACGACGACCAACAACAACAACAAAACAACAACAACAATAACAACTTTTTATTAATGGTTAATTGGTGGACATCTGAGCAAGAAAGACAATTTTCGACACTGCTTTAGCCTAGTTTTGGTTTTCAATATACAAAAATTGTATATTTTGTTCGATTTCGAAAAAAAAACACAATGGTGTCATAATAACTGTCTTAATGCGTTGGTGGTTTTATTGGCTGACACGCGATCGATTTAACTTTTTTTTCTCGAGATTTATGAAATCGATTAGTTTGCATTGCATACCATTTTGATTTTGATTTTTGTCGTGTGTCCCACTAACAATGAGACGCTTCACCACTGACATATAGTTGTCCCCTTCTTGGCTGCCCGCCATCGAAATGATCATTTTTACCAGTATGCTGTCATCACATTCGTGAAAACGCAAAATTTGCTCGATAGTCTCTTTGTTTTCCGATTCAATGGAATCATTCGTTTTTTTTGAATCCATATTGATATTTTCTGTGGGGTGCGCACAGGCTGTTGCAAAGAATCAACAACACAACAACGGCGGATTAAAAAAATACTGATTATTCAACGCAAGAGAATAAAAAGAATGAGTGCGCGTATGGCATTTAGTCACTGTCGTTTATTTGCTCTAGCCAGCTTCTGGTCGTTATTTGTATTATGTGTATCGCGCAAAATAGTTCGATGACTTGTTGCTTTCTCTCTCCAATTCAGAAGTACGCACTCGCTCGGTTTCACACTTGGTCAACAACTTAATTTACTCCGAACACACGTGTACCGTGCGCGTTCTATGCTATACACAGGTGACGATGCTTTGACGCAAGACTCACTGAAAAGTTCAATGCTATCGAACAAATTTTGCGATATATTTCAACAATACAATTTTACACATTACTAACAATATCAATCAAAAGTTTTACTTTTTACGGTAACGAAAAATAGAACAAGCTCCAACATTTCAAATTAAATTGAAAACATCGATGGTCACATTTTATCACAGATTTTTCCTTGCACTTGCTGCCTGTTGCTTGAGTGCCACATTTACTTCCTTGTTTTTTCTTTTATAAAAATTTATGCTACACTATTTTAGTATATTCGATAATTACATTTCCCATTGTTTTTTTCTCGCTTTATCGAATTTCCCGTAGTATAGTTTTGGTTTTATTAATGGACTATATGATCTAAAATGCAAAAGGCACAAAACGACTGACACTTGGACAAAATAAAGCTATCTGCTCAAAATTAGTAGCAACAGAAGCAGCAACAGCAGCCGACTAATAAGTTCATGTATTTTTGCACAGACTGTTCGACTGGTTATGAGCGAATATGTTTTTGTTCGGCTTCGATATAAGTTGTGCACGAGTTTTGTTTCTCGTACTCAGCCAAGCAAACAGTCGGTTACATCGTGTCGCACACAGCCAACATGTACATACACACGATTCAACGATGGCTATCGATGTATTATTTTTCGCAACACTTCAAAAGTTGAATTTCTTTTCGGTGGATATGACACAACTATGCATTCGATTGTTTACAATGTTTACTCGCTCTTTTCCCTCTCCCAATGCAGAAGCATACCGTAGTATTAGTATCTATAGCTACATGCTTGCGTACGGAATGGAAGAGATGCAGATGCCGAATATGCGTAAATATCAAAAAACAATTTTTTTTCATCATTGAGCGTTCAAATGATTTTATTTTTATAACAAGACACAATACTTCTCACTGTTTACCATCAGATCAGAACACGAATGAACAATTTAACAATTTAAGTTAAGTCTGACAAAATGTACATCAATTTTATCTTTTCCCATTGAAAGATTCATTTTTGGCAATTTTGTTTTTGCATTCATTTTCTAATCGATCGTCCAGACAGAAAGGCGACCGGCGCATGGATTATGATGTGCAATCCATAAATGATCATCGCGTCATGATACCTTGTCTGTAGCGACAGTATAAGCATAGGAGAAGAAAGAGAGGCCTACAGTGAAAGAAAAAAGCAAGTAATAGAAAAAGTAAAATTGGGAGAAAGAGAAAGAGAGGGAATGTGCTGTTGAATCGTCATGGTTGTCTGTTTCAACATACCGACAATTGTGCTGGTGTACGGTATTGTTTGCATTGAATTAGAAGTGGAATCTGTTGGCATGTTTTCCATTTCCATATTCTTATTGTTCATTTGTTCGGCGCGTGTGCGCTGACCACCCATCGAAGGACAGCAAAGATGAGACAATTTAAATGAGATAGCGAGTCAGTTAAAGGAACTTTTGATTATCATAATTTTTATTAATGCTTCATATATGTATATATAATATATCCCACTTTTTTGTGGATTGCGATATACTCTTCAATCAAATGCCATTAAAATACATTCACCCGAGAGTACGACGGCTATACCGCTGCCCACAATTCAAATTTCTAATCACAGTCTAACCTTCAAAATGAATGAAACAACACAGAGTCGACGCAAGCACACAGTAGAATCGATGAAAAACGACGCGCAGCCCGAACAAAAAAAAAAAACAAACAAACAAAGTTGCAGTATACACCGTGTGTCAGACATTAGAATAAAAGTGATCTAACACACGTGTTTGAATATGCTTCATTCGATGTATGAGTGAGTGCTCAAAGCCGCAAAATGCATCAATACTTTTACAGTAATTTATACTTGTTGTCGATGTAAACGTGCACTTGAATCTAGGCGCTATTTATGTCTTACCCATACCAGCATATCGAAAATTGTTTTGTTTCAATTGTCTCCTTCTCTTCATTTTACTTTATTTGTTTTGTTTTGTTTTTTTCTCATTGTTATTGATTTCGATGTAGTATTCTTTCTTCTTCTCCAGGCTTTAAGAATTGTTCCGATGATGTAAATTTCAGTTGCTATGCTTTCTGTGTAAAACAGATAGATGTGTGAGTTTGTGTTGTATTGCTTCCATATTTTTTGTTCATTCAAGAATTAAAGATTTTATGTTTTTGGCGATTGAATTCTCTGAGGTCAAAATTCTCTTCTCTAATTTGCGGTCGTAGCGATCAATTCACATTAATGTGTACATTTGTTCATGATAATTCATTTTAGACCAAAAATGTGGTTTTGGCAAGTCATACTCAGAGAGGTGGGGAATTTCATCACAGTTGCCGGTTACCGTCGCAATTTTTTAAAGTCCAACAATGATGTACTCAGTTTTGATACAATGATACATATCATTAAATATGCGACAAAAGCGCTCGCTTTCGCAAAATATCGAATAAAATACAGATAAATCTCAAACCCCAGTTCTTTTATTGCCCGTTTGAATTACGCATTAAAATTTACTATGAGTCTACTTGAAATTCAAACAGATCAAACTTATGATGGTAATAACGAATCGACAACCTGTTGAGAGCGTAAATTTCGAGTCCATTAAATATGAATGAAATATGAATGTCCGAGAATGAAAACGCAACTTCTATTCACAACACATATAAGTGAAACAAAAATAAAAAATTTATTTTTATACACTTTGAAAAAATTCGATTTTGTTGTTTCATTTCAATAAATTTTTTATTTTTGTTTCACTTATATGTGTTGTGAATAGAAGTTGCGTTTTCATTCTCGGACATTCATATATATATATATGTATGTAAAATAAATTATCAATACAATCGAAAATTTGCAGTTTACAAATCTGCAAATTTTAAATTTGAGCACGTTTCGCAATTTATGGTTTCTGTTTCTTTCATAATATCATTTTTGTGCTCATTCAGATGTTTTTGTATGTCGTTGGTCGTAGTTTAGTTCAATGTTGATGGTCACACAATTCGATGAACTCAAAATTGCGAAATTCTTGTTTGTGTTCTTCTCGTGTTATACCTTTCGAATTCCTCCTTGATTTAGTGATTTCACCACTTTTTTTTATTGTGAATCGTCGCAAAAATCTTAATTCTCAGAAAAACTATCCCATACCAAAAACAAACCAAATATATAATCATTGAATTGAGAAAGTAGTGAGATCGGCTGGTTCACTACAATTACTATAACAAAAAAGCATTTAATCCATGTAACCTTAGCCTGATTTTTCGATATGCATGTAATTTATTGGCGACAAACGGCTCTGATAAAAATCACAACAACCGAAGAAATTAAGGAAAACGATAAATGTGTGCGTCCAGTACACATTTTTATTCAAACAAACCGCTATCTCTACGATCCCACTCACATAAATACACATGTAAAATGTCGCAATGTGTTTCGTATATATGCATTCTGAATGAAATGCAAATTTGATGCAGCTAGTAAACTTATTCAATAATAAATACTGCACATTTCTAATTGAAATCAAATTGCTTTGACCTTGCAATGCATTTCAGGATCATCGCGACTCATGCAACTAAATGACATTGACTCGAGAACATTGCATGTGATATATAAAAAAGAGGCTGACAACAGCTGTTTTGAAAAGCAAACTCCAAATCAAATACTGGCCGAGTAGTAAAACGACTTTTGAAATTTCACTGGGCATCTCCACTTGAAACATTAGCTTTTTGGTGTAGAGTTTTCTCCAAAGCATCAAAAATAAATAACAGAAGCACGAGTATTGGATTTGAACACCGTTTAATGAGTTGTTTTTTTAAATCATATCGAATAAATAATTTTTTTCTTAATTTGATCATCAATTTAGAAAAATGAAAAAAGAACAATTTCTGAATATCTAAAATCTCGATCGTTTTCGCCGCTGTAGGAAGCCAGCGTTTTTGAAGATTTTCAATACTTGTTCACGTGGAATTTTTTCGGCTTCTCTATCAAAGACTGGAGCTTCTTTATCGGTTAGCCATGAGTCTCGCGCAAGAGCTTCTGCAACATGTGGATTACTGTAGAAACGATGTGATTTCAATAGTTCCGATGGCAATCGTGATTCGGCAATTGAATTTTCAACTACGGCTGGGTGTGCTAATTGAGATGCATCTGATATCTGGATCGGTGGACCCTGAGCCAATACGCGCGGATGTCTTGGATCTCCCACATAGGTTAAAGGTGAATTAATCACTTGGCAATAGCCAATATCGATTACCACAATCAATATGCAAATCGTTAAAATTACCGATGATCCTGGTGACATCTAAAAATAGAGAATACCACCGTAGTTACTACACACACGAATCTTTAATTTTTCTTCTAAATATTTCAGAACAAAAGACTTGTCACTTCCTATTACCTATTCTAATGCAAAATTACTAATTTAAATAATTTAGTTTAACATTATTCCAGAAAAAACATTTTTCAAAATTAAAAAATATTGATTTTAAATTTATATGTAACTTTCGCTTCCGTAAATCACTTTTCACTGCGACTAAGTTATTGGTGCATTACAACAACTAGGAAATGAATATCAGTTCATAAACTGTATAAAATCAAATGAAACTTGTTTTTGGTTATCACTTTCAGTGCACTATAAAGTGATTGTTCATTTTGGAAACCCGTAAATTTATCTCTGTTCAAACGTCACAGTTAATTTTTTATATAGAATCTTACCTTAAAATTTCAAAAAGAAATATTCAGATTGTACGAATTTTTTTTTCGTTCGATCACTGTTGAGTTTACGTCTTATAACGTCTACGCTCTGATTGCAACTGTTTCATGCATGCATGGTATCATTCTTTTATGTAATTCGTCCGATTGAGATGCGTACGTATCTCTTTCCACCTACCTTCTCTTCCTTAGGTGGCCACCTGAGACATTGCTCAGCCATGTAAAGCGAATGAGGACAGGCGTAAAAACAAAAACAACATAATCGAGTCATATATTTATTTCCTGAATCGTGCGAACGAGTTGGCATACTGTACTTGCTATGGATAGAGCTGCAAACATAAAGACAATTTTAATCGCATTGAAACCAAGTTCTTGCTTATGAAATATAAGATTACGTATAGCGCGTGACACTACACTATTATCCGTTTCATTTATTTCGCTTGGATCAATTTGTTCACTTTTTTCCACTGCATAGAATATTTGTTGCAGCAACCTGGTGAAACTATCGAATGATTAATAGGAGAATCATATAAATTTGTTTGTCTCCCTATATTTGTAATGATAAATTTCCCTTTCAATGAAATAAAAGTAATTAAGAAAAGAATGAGAACTCGAATGCTTAGACTTTTTTCCAGTAGCATTGACAGTCAGACCCATTTCGAGGATTTCTAGTTTTTAAATTCGTTACAATTCAAAATGTAGAAAATATCGATTGCATCTAAACATTTGAAATATTTATAAATTCAGGGTTCAGGTGTTTAATTGAAATTTATAACCTAATACAAATAAATCATTAGAGTACAGTAAGTAGAAAATTTCATAATATAATCGGCGAAATTTTTTTTTCTTCGCTTTTCTTTATAGTCAATCTAATCATTAAAATGATCGTACCCTTGTTATTGGTGACGATAATTGAACGCATAATAATTGAATATATTGACAGTTTCCAATTATACAAGATCTAAGCGAATCTAATGATTAGATAATAATTAAAGCTGTTACACAATTGAGAACATTTCAAAGGCTATGTTTCTTCCGTAGATGAGGCGAGACGCTTGAGCACGTGATGTAAATGAAATTGACCACCCAAATGACGGAAGTAAACCGATTGACCTGTTGTGGCACATGCCATTTGCCATTTGCCATTTTCTGAACATTTGTACAGTGCATGGAAGTATTGAAAACGGATAAAAAAACTCAACATCTTTAACTGGAGCTTAATCTCAATATCTTGTTTTTCAAACAATTTCATTCGTTGTTATCTTCCTAGTAAATGCAAAAACTAGGTACTATAATACGGTTGTTATGTCGTGAAAAAGTAAGTATTACAGCTGTCAATTTCATTCTTCTATATCGCATTAGTTTTTGCTAAACCAAAAATCGCACAGTCACCATTTCCGCAAGTATAGACGAATGAGGCGGTATTACGACATCGCCTTTCAACACAATCGCAACCTTGATCGATGATCATTAAAACCTACTCCATCAACGGTCATCGTAGCGCTTAATTTCGAAAACTGAACATTTGTTTGGAACAAAAAAATCAGCAATGATAAATATATGACGATTTTTGTTTCTGATCTTAAATTGAGAAAAAAGAATGCTCTATCAATACGTGCAGAATATGCCAGCAAGCTTGTGTATAAGTAGATAAAAATATTATACGTCATAAACCAAAATATTATTGTTCCTTGAAACAGTATTCATAATCTCCAAATCATTGAAGAACAAAATTTTCCAGTTCTTCTAGGCTTGTTTTAGAAGAAAAAATAAATAAAATAAAATAAAACAAAACCTTTTGATTTAATACTACCAAGATTTAAATAACAAAATCATCGACATGCATCGTTTCATTGCAGTGTATGTAGTATATTGAAAAAAGTGACCACTGATTTTATCGGGTCTGTTGACAAAAATATTAGCAATTTTACTAAGGTTTTTTCGGCGTAACTGCTCTTTGTTGGGCAAAATCTTGGGATACAGGTTGGACATAAATGATACGTTGACTAGCTGTTGATGGTGTCGTCGAAATATAAACTCCAGTTGACGCAGATGTATTTGCTCGATCTTTATAGTTGGCTCCTTTTTTGTGTGGACCGGAATCGAATTTATTGCTGTTGGCATCCCGTCTACTGTCTACATTTTCATAGTTCCCACTAAATGCTGGATAAGAGTTTTGATTGATTTTATCCTCATTGCGGTAGTTTGCGTTATACTCTGAACCATCTTCGAAATTGCTCTGATATCTACCATTGGAATTATCGAAGTCACCTTCATAATCTGAACTCTGTGTATTGTTTTTCGAACTGTCACTTCCAACGACTTCTTGAACCGTTGTAACCGTGACGGGTTTCGAGACGACAATTCTTCTTCTATTTACTGTTTCTGTTGGAAGAAAACTTGCTGGAGGGGGTGTAACTGATACCACGCGAGCACGCACATTTCCAACATCTTGATATTGAGAATTTCTCTTACCTTGGTCTGAATACCGCGAACCAGCCTCACTTTCTGTTTCTGTCTGACCAACTTCGGAAACTCCACCGTTGTCGGTGTACAGTTGAATTAAGCGAGCTTGCTGATTACTTTCATGTGATGTTCGATTCTGGTCGTTAGTGGAATCAAGGTATTTAACATCTTCATCAACATCTTCTCTATAGAATGTTGGTTCTCCATGCGATCGTGAATAAACGATTGGCCTATTCGGTTCATTCGTAATGCGACTTCGAGGCAATTCATGATAGAATTGATCTGGCTGCTCAGCTCTATATTGTGATATATCACCCCGAGGTGGAATCTCATTCTGAAACTGGTCAATTGGAATATTTTCATTGGACTGTCGCTGATCTGCATAGAGAATATATGGTTCTTGGGGCGTTGTTTGATTTTGATTAGAATTGTCATTTTTATCGACGATTGTAACAGAAACTGGTGTTGTTGAGCTTATATAGATGTCAGATTGTTTTGCTGTTGTGCTTGAATCACTGTTTGAAGCAGTACTCGTCGACGTTGGTGTATACTGGCCTGGAGTCGATGAATAAGCTGTACTTGGCGTATATTCCGCTGTAAAGACAAACATATCCAGATTAAAAATTTCCATTCAACAAAAAAAATATATAACAAAAGCCAGAATTCCATATCAACTTACAACTAGAACTTGATGTGAACGATTGATCAGTTGAAAATGGTGGTAGGTATGTTTGTGATGGTACTGTTGGTGGATATCCAGTTGTTGGGTAATTATTTGTTGTGGGTTCTGTTGTAGCGGTTGGAGCAAATGTAGTCGGATGGTATTGTGTCTTTGGGCTATCGAAAGATGTTGCAGGAGGAGAGTATTCATAGACTGGTGATTGATCATCATACCCATAGCCACAATCTGAAACCGAAGTTGAATAGAATTGTCCATTTTGATTGGATGCATCATCTGAACGACCGTTTGTCCTTAGTCCTTGAAAATTGTATTGATTATGATTTGATGCGTAATTTCTAGTGTTTGGACGGCCTTCCGTTATATCTTGTTTTTTGGATGGTGGATCGAATTCAATCAAAGCACTACCAACTGGTCTTACAATGACTCTCTCCTATCAATGAAAGTTAGAAATATTTGAAATAAATATCGTTCTTTCCAAAAAAAAATTCCTCACACACCTCCACGTCATAAAATTCTTTCTTAATACCGGGACGATAAATTTGGTAGCGTCGTAGTTTCACCTGTTCACCGTTGTTTGCGTATGGCATTGAATTGGCATACCCATTATATTTGTTTTCATTATATTGCTGGTTCGTAGGTCTTTCTCCTCGGAGAAAGTTTTGGAAGTTTTGACCCGGGCTTTGATTTCTAAATTGTGTACCACTTCGTTGTACAGGGTATGCATATTGTTGATTTGTCGATTGATAACGATAGATTCGATTTGTTTGTGGCACAATCAATCGCGAGTGTTCCACTCTTGATGTTGGCGCTGACGGAGCATAGTATTGACCAGACTGTGCACCAAAAACAGTTAACTATCATTGAAAATATCAAATCATTTCGAATAAAAGTAATATTTGTCTGAAAATCTAATGAAATAATACTCACTGGTTTCACATAAGCAACGGGATGTGTTTGAGTTTGTGAATATGTATGACTTACAGCAGGCGTTGTATGTACTGAATATGACCCATAATATGGTCCAGTTTGAACAGTAGGAGCTGTATAAACTATTGGCTGTGATGCAACAGGTACGTCATACTCGAATACGGGATTATAAGCAGATTGATGTACAATTGCACTACAAATAATACACTGGAGTGTGAAGAAGAAGACCACAATACACCTCATCTGCAAGTAATTGCTTTAATAAAATGTTGATTTTTAAAAAATAAAATTACAAGTCGTATATTCACTTTTGAAAATCTCCGTACTAGTTGAACCTCACATCAACAAGTATACGCACAAAATAAGTTCTATTGGCAAGTTTCAGTTGTCTTATATATAAGAGAGCTTTACAGCGATGCTCCATAAAACATTCGCAAACAAATCGCATTGCATTCGCAGATTAAACGAGAACGCAGGTAGAACAAATATTATTGTGACGCACATGAAAAAAACATTCCAATTATGTCGACAACTAGTTTTTTTTCTTTGTGAATTTTCAAATAGAAAAACGAAAAAGAATTTTCGAATTTCATATTAAAAGCTATTTTCTACATTTAACAAATTTATTCCCCTTGCGTTCATTTGTAGATTGCCTTGTCGGTGCAAAATGTAATCGTGCCTTGTCATAACGACGAACTCATTCAAATCGAGTCATTGTATGCATTGTGTGTAGTCATTGTCACCGCTACGAATAAAAACCCTACATTTGTTTCAGCGTGAGCATCACATTAAACATACAGTTCATTCACAATTTGTAAATACAAACCATATGTAAACGTTTTCAATTAAACACATGAACTATTTCGTTTTTTATGAACACCTATAATGCGAGTGTAACGCGATTAACGTTGTTTTTCTAAATCTACAATGAGTCAAAAGGTAGAAATTCAACTGATTGATAATTTTTGCATTCGTTCGCTAAATAAAACTAGATAATAATTGATAATCCCAAAAACATGTTGAGCTAAGCCAATTGTTACATCTTTCTATTTTGCAGAAATACTAAATGACTATTTTTCTATATCTTTTCTCATTTTTATTTTGTATTAAAATCCTTAACCAATATCTTCATTCGCACCTAGAAGTATAAAATTTTTGGTTTATGTTGTTTTTCTTTTACAATATATTCAATTAAAAAAGATGACTTAGCTTAAACTTACTTTGATTACCATTATATAATGGTAAAAATTCCAAGAAAAATGTAATTGTGGTTTTTATTATTGTTAATTTGGTCGACTCTAAAGTTGAAATTGAATAGACTTTGAACAGGACCTTATGTAATTGATATGAAAAATATTCAACAGATGTTACTATTCAACGTATACATTGAAATGAAGTATCTACTTTTCTATGCCAATTTATATGGCAATAATGAATAAATTGACAAGGTGCTCAATTTGTCGGTAAAAATAGAGGATCAAACATTGATTCATTCTAGATTACGTAATCAGAACAATTTTGTCAAACTATTTTGCATCCATTAATAATGGATTCCATTATGCACATGTTTCATTATGTGAAACAGTTCTCATAATTTCGTTATTTATCGTCGTTTGAGCGATACAATTTTTGAGTTCATGTTCCAATCTATTAAATTAATTGTCGGAGATATAATGTTTTCAGATACAACTGAAACGGATCTGAAGTGATGCAATTTGTGTGTCTCACGACGCACTAAATATTACAGTATTTCAGTTTTATGATATTCTATTCTTTCCCAAATACATTCGGAACTAACGCGTCTATAAAAACATGTGCTAGTAGCACTTATACTTACAAATCTTCAATATTATAGTAAGAATTCATGTTTATTTACACATATTCAGAGAAATACTTCATGAATATTAGGATTCATTCGGAGTTTCTAAAGCGAGTTCCATCAAAAAACAGTAACAGTCTTATCTATTTACAAAATCTTTTTTTTTTTCAGAAACAGAGTATTTTCTCCCTTAAACAACCATAGAAATTACATAGTTTGGATGCTCAGAACAAAGTCCTATGGACTGATAAGTTATTATCATCGATACCAATTGTATTCTTTGACATCTTATCGACATATGCATCAATTTTTTTTAAACAGAGTCATTTCTCGTGCCGAAGCGAACACAAAACTTGTGATATTAATTATAAAAAATGACAAACTGAAGGTTTGGTGCGACGTAAACAATTTGCACCTGAACCTTGACAAATGTGTCGTCCTTACAATCACCACGAAGAAAAAGGACATTATCGATACAAATTACAAATATGATGATTTCACCTTCAAGCGCGTATCGGACCACAAAGATCTCGGCGTCATCATTGACCAGAAGCTGAGCTTTGTCAAGCACATTGACGCGATAACATCGAAGGCAACCGCAGCCCTTGGATTCATTGAGAGATTTTGCTACGACATTACCGATGTTCAAACGCTCAAAACACTATACTACGCTCTGGATCAGTCTCATCTCGAGTACTGTAACGTCGTATGGCTACCAACTTATGCCGTACATATTGACAAGATCGAGGGAGTTTTGAGGAAATTTACTCAGTTTGCCACACACATTTCATAGAAAAACTGTTATTTCTATCACCTGTAGTTTTGGACTTATGAGCGATTGAATGGGTCGGTAACGTTACAAAATTTTGGAAATGATTTTCGAGGTTACTCAACGTTTTTATGAAAATTAGCGAATCTAC